GCAAGTCGTCCCTGCTGTTTGGGCGCGCGCCTGATCACAGTCAGGTTGCTTTACTCGATGCCTCACCTTGGGGCCCCAAACTTTGTGCGGAGTCGGCTTCCGTTCTTGGTTTCATGCTGTGGGGCGCGCAAACGCAGGTTGGCAGCGAAACCGTCCCGAACCTCCTGCCGAAGCTGAGGTTCTCCTTACTGGTCACAAGGCGGCGGCTTCTATTGCGCACAAGCGGAGGCTTTTTCAGCCTCTAAGACAATCGCTGCCTGAGCGCGCCATTTGTTGCCGCGCGTACCTACAGAGTTGCCTCCAATATACTCAGCAGGTTATCCCGCCGGATGTTGGCGAGCAGCAACGAGGCGGCTGGGCTTTTTGCTGCGGCTAGCCCCCAAGCTTGCAGTCGCGGCTGTTGGGGGCATGCGTCCGGTCATTGCTCGGGAGAGACCGCTCCTTGCCGCGGCGTTATCGCAGGTTACGGCTAGTCTCGATGGCTGCACCGCAGCTCAGCCGGTACGATGCACGTTGAGACAATATGCGCAGGCCTTGGTTAGCACCAACTTCCACACTTGGCGGGATGGGGCATTCGAAGAGTCGTTGACTCACATACGCAAGCTTTATCGACGCTGCGTAGTCGAGACCGAAGATCTTCAGGCTGTGCACTTTTTGCTTGACAAAATTGCCAAGCAGCCTTGGGCCGCTGTTGGCCTCCAGTGGGTCCCTGGTGTTTTATCCTGCCCTGCTAGCCTTACCAGCGCGGTGTCACGGGCGTATGCGCTGCGGTGGCTTGTTGCTGAGGAGGCTGACGCAGGATTTGTCTACCGGCAATTTTACACACGTCCCGCCACCTGCGCTCGGTGCCACCACCCCTACCCCAAAGAAAGCCTGCGTCGACTAGGCCACGCGGGACAGGGCAGTTATTGCTAGGGTTGTCTCCAAGTCTTAGGCTGGCCGGAGCAGAAGGCGTGGCTAGTGTGTCGAGTCGAGGCTCTCGCTCCTTTCCTGCTGGATGATGGCGACGAATGGTGGGAAATGCCCAGCGATGAAGTTGCTCCCATGCCGCCTCGACGTATCGGCGCAATTCCGCCGGCCTGCGCAGCTTTTAGGGCTTACCTGCCCCCTGGATTTGCGGCGCTCGCCGAAACATGCTGCAACGTCGCTTGAACTCTTGGCGTCTGCGCGCAGGTACCTGCGTGAATTAGGTGCTATGTGGGCCCCAGGCTGGTCCCCGCCTTGTGGGTCTGCCGAGCAGGGGCCTCTGTGTCATGCAATTGCGATTGCTAGTGCCACATATTGGGGTGCGCCCTCGAGGTATCGGTCTGTGTTTGGTCCACCGCCGGAATGCCCACGCAATGCCCCTCAATCCGGCTGTCTTTTCTCGCGAGGCCTCTGACTCTGTGTCTCTGTCGTTGACGCCTTCTCACGGGGACGACATCGTGCTACTGGTCAGCAACACGCTGTCATCGCTACAGTGAGCTTTGCCGAGAGATCACAGGTTGCCGTGTTGGACGCACACGCCCAGGAAGTTGGCTTGCTTTATCTTGCTCACGACGTCTCACAGCCCAATGTCCAGGTTGAACACCGCCCCTGGTCCCAGCAGAAGCCTTCACACCGCCCTGCCCTTGGCGTTGGTGCTTATAGCTTCACCCTTTCGGGCTGCTGTCCCAAGGGAGCGCAGCTCGAGTCTTGGTGTAGACCCTTACTGCGGCCGGACTGTACATTAAGCAGAGGTATTCATGCCAGCACTTTTACCGCTGGGTGACCCAGTCTCTAGCGATCCCACCCTAAAGGAGAAGCTACAGGGACGCAGGAGTAAACCTGCGGAAGGGAATAAACCCAACAGTCCCTGCAGCGACTCCGATAGGGGCCCAGATTGCTCCAGGCACTGCAGCTATACTGGCATTCGCCGCAGAGGAACCGACGGTCTGATCCGCAGTGAGCTTGGCTACCCACTACGAACTTTGACCGTTAGCCGGCAACGCACGATGCTTAAGGCAAGCCTCAGGACAAGATGTCCCTTGGGAGCCCTCAACAACGCACGCTTAACCGACCCCCCCTCGCCGCAGGCAGACAGATCGCAAGAGCCGCTAACCCTAGCACTCACTGTCCGCCACGCAGCTAAGGGGTTCACCCAACTCGCCTGACCAGCTCGCAAGAAGCAAAGGTGAGATCTCCTCCCTGCTTGCCCTTAGACCGCGTCTAGGCCAGGCAGCGCTAACTTGCCCCTTGCGCTGGGGCGCTTAAGGGAAGGAGTCTCGTGAGGAGATGCTTCAGCTGGCGCCGTGTCTGCTCTCACACATGCTACAATCGTGAATCTCGACTTGTGTGCTTTCTACTCAAAGCCTAAGTGGGTCTCTTAGAATCTAGTTTTGTTGCCATTTCGCAGAAAGTGGTGGCAGCTCACAACTGACGGATTCCAGATAGGTTGCTGAACTGAAGCCAGAATTGTTCCACACGGTTTAAGCCTCCCTGCGCCACGAAAGTGCGAGTTCAAGAGTCACCCACCTCTGCAAGTGAGCTCTCAGCATATTCCCGCTGCAGAAGTCAGCTCTGGCTGCGATCCGTCCCATGGACGCTACTTAACTTCTAACAATAATGCGATGCATCAATTCGCAGACACAATTCTACTGGGCTTTGTGCAACACATTCCCCAGATCTCTGCATAAAAGTGGGTTTTTGCACTTTATCTTGATCTGTGTGCATCTCCACGTGCTTGACGCAAATGTAGTCTTTAAGCTTCGAAATCTAGCAAACTGCCACTTGTTTTAGGTCTCTTCGAATTCCGGACAGAGCCAAATTTCACCAAAAAACGGACACCAAGACGAAAGAACAGTGCGGATACGATTTTACTTCTTGCTCGAACTCGTCTGTCTGGAGTCTGTGTAGGGGATGCTCGACAACGAAGACTCTTCAGACACTGCGGAGTCCATTTGGAGCTTCTACTTCGCTGACTCTCTTCTACTTTGGCAGTCTAACACCTGGTGTTCGCTGTTTCGAGCCATGGAGCAGTTTTGGCCGGCTCTCATGCGGCGATCACGCGAAGCGGATCTCCATAGTGATCCGACCTCCAGACCACCTTGCTGCAAGCGAAGAGGAAGCTGCCGTTTTCGCCATGGTTCGAAACCGGATTTCAGATGAAACTGCGATGTGAAGATTGGTTTCTGACTTGCATCCAGACTGGAGGAAACAGTGTAAACTCTAGAACTGCGAATGGCTTCGTGTCGGAAGGCCGAAACATGCCTACACAGAGCTTCCGCATGCAAACTGAACAACGGAGCGTACGTACTCTAGAAGAGAAACAACTGTTTCAACTTGACACCATTTAAAAGTTGAAACGAAGCTCAAGCGAGCTTACAGGGAAGTTGGTCTGTCTTACTTGTTCTTGCAAAGCAAACCATAACCAAGCAGTTGTATTGAAACATGTTCTAGAAAGGTTGCAACATCAAAACATCTGATCTGGTCAAAAGAAACTCAATAAGTTGAACTCGAATCTTTGCTTCTGACAATCCGATCTTGAAAGATTATTCTTGATGCAGCACTTTCGACTTGGCAAAAAAACGAAGCAACTGCAAGGATGCAAGAAACCTTTTGCACGTGAATTGAGGAACTCTGAATGGCTCGAAAAACCACTCTGGAGCTTGCGCGTCTCTTGCAATCACGGCATATTACGGCTTTTCGAGGAATTGTAGAGGTTCAAAGGCTCCCAAGGTTCCATTTCATGTAAAAGGTTAGAAGGTGGCATTTAGATCTTGCCACAGCAAGCCTCGAAGCGTCGGCATGGTTTTTGGAATGTTTTCGAACGGTCCACTCCAAGCGAAAAAAGCAACATTGGAACTTAGAGTTCAACCTTGGGTTCGGAACTTTGCAAACCAGGGTTCACAACTCTATGTTCGAACGGAGAAGGTTGAGGTTTCGGCTGATTGACAAAGTTCGAAGCGGGAAGAAAGGGTGGTAGAAGGATGAAGTCGTAAGAACAACAATTTCGGGTTCAGAATTGGAACGTCAAGTCCGGCTCGTTTGGACTCGAATTGGCTTCGACAATCTTGAACTTTAGAAATGATCGCGCATGTTTGTTTCTCCAATGGAATGCGAACTGATGCGTACGTTGTGTTCTGGAGCTGAATGGGTGGTGCGGTAGAATCCTATGTCCATCATTGCGTTCTCCGACATAAGCTGCAGGACGTTCCATGTTGGAGCTCTACAAACCTTGTTGCAGTGAAGAGGACTTTGCCTTTGTTTGTCGCGAAGCATTCGCCGGCGGCACTGCATTCGGCGCTCCAGGCTAAATTCCCGGAAGCTGAGCTTGTCAATGCGCTCATGTTGCTGCTTTTCTAGCACGCCTAAATCTGCAGTGCGCCAAAATGAATCCATCACGAGAAAGCTGTTGCATGTTGCGCCAAAGTTCCATCCCACTCCATTTTGTTCCGAGCCAAAGCAACAGCACAAACGATTTTTTTGGGGTGTGTTCAGGCACGGAGTTGAGGACCATTGACGCTTCATTCATCAACGGTTGCGAAGCAGGTTTTTCTGCAGTCCAGTTGCCTGTGTGCGAGCATTTTGCAGCTCAGAAACCTGAGATGGTATGCTCGGGTCTTGTTTTCTGGTTTTCTTGCACAGAATTTTTCCAACATTGGCAAATGCTGTGTTTCACGCAGGAAAATGCACGCGATGTGGCCGCCCTTCATTTTTTCAAAGTTGGCTAGACGGTGACATGACTAAATTGTTGATTGTTGACATTGGTATTGCAACGGTTGACTTGGTTCCTGTGCCATGTTTAGGTGAGAAATGAAAGCAGGTAGTGGCAAGTGGCAAGCATTGTCCCCCCCACACACGCAGCGCAAAGTTAGAAACGTTGCAGCAGGCTACAGCTGTTCATCGCAGTTGACCGTAATTGAACATGCGGCTGAACATCTCCTTTCGGGTAGTGTTTTCAACAATCATTAAAGTATGTCGTGTGAGAATGAAGCTGAAGTACTATGTTGTCGAGCGCTTCAACAGTGTTTTCCGGTGTAATGCTGCGTCCCGGGACAATCGACACACCACGCCTGTTCTATGAGAGGCCGACGACTCAATTGGAGAAGCTTTTTGCACGTAAATATCGACCACCGGACATGTTGACATTCTGACAGTGATCAGTTGCAGGCACGACCCCTTCCTGGAAACTCAGCAGTTGCTTCAGGATTGCAGCAGCCACATCTGGACATGTTGCTGTGATCGCCTGCAGCCCATCGGGTCGCGATTTTTTTTTAGTGTTTAGCTTGGGCTTGAGAAGATGCCCGCAGCCCATCGGTTGCTGTTTTGCAGGAGCACCGGCGGCTGCATGTGCGAGAGCGCCAGACTCGAGATGCTGCGGTGAATGGGATTCTCATGATCGATGCAGGCCAGGGCCTGTGTCTAGGAGTCTTGTTGGTTGGCAGCTGTTGGAGTTCGGTGCGTGCCATCCGGCAGACTGCAACGATCCCACGATGAAAGATGATCTCGATGGACAAGGTTGGGCATCTCCGCGACGTTATGAGTCACACCGAAAGGTCCGTCACTGATCGACTGCGAGCTTATCTGATTGCCTGCGCTTGCCCCCATGTCATGTGCCATCGAGGCAGAAGAATGCCAGTTTCTGACATATGTAGTTTGACGACGCCGCTGATGCCGACTGATACCATGCTGTTGTTTTCATCCGCTTCAAGTTTCGAGCAGACAGCGAAGCATTGATCCCGAGGCCGAGAAGTCGGCCGCGCGGCATGCTCTCCTTTAAATGTCAACATCACACATTCCAAGGGTGTCGGCAACCCCTGCTGATGAGAATCGGCAACTCAATGACGGAAACCAATGTGCGCACATAAATCTGCCTCATGCACGTGTGTAGACAACCGCTGAGCTACAGATGCAATTGCATGCTCGCATGTGTTTGTGGTCTGTGCCTGTATGTGTGTGCATGTGTGGGTCCAAAGTTTTCGAACAAGAGCTATTGTCGACACCAGGTAGACTCAAGCAAGACGACACCATCCTTCGCACCGGAAGGTTCAACGTGGAGGCACACTTGGGTTCATGTTTACACAGAGCTATCATTCTCAGCAAGTTCTGCTGTCGATCCGTCAATGGCAGAGTGCTGAAGGGAGATCGCAGCCCAGACCGCGGAAAACGTAGAGAAAGCTCTTGCGCAATTTCTACAAGCGAGCGGAAGTCTTCGCACGATTTACATGGCCGATCGCGAGGCAGATGTAGCTCGAAGAAAGCCGGGTGACCCAGACAGACGGTTCAAAGCTGTTTGCATGTCGCATGTGCTGGTGTTCTCCTTCCTGGTTGTGGCAGGCTCACTCCTCGCTGCTCTGGCGCAGTGTCTTGGCGGCGCCGAACCGTTGTATTTCTGAGTCTCGTCATCTCTTCCGCGGAGCCATGTGGAGTCGGTGGCCACTGGTACTGACGTGGTCTGAAGTTCTCGTAGTCGCTGCTGCCATCTTCCAGCTGTGTCTGAGGCAAGGGCTGCCGCCGAAATCCGGAGCCTCCGGCTTTTTGTGGTGTTGCTTTGTGCTGTGGGTGTCCGTTAAGCCTAACCCAGAAGCTGTGGCACTGGTGCTGATGCCTTCGTCATGCACCCTCTTGCTCTTTTGGTGGAGTTAGGATTCGGACTTCAGAGGCAGACTGTTTTCGAGCTGCGATCCTGTTCTTTCGTGTTTGGGGGTGCTTGGGATGTAGCGCAGTTGGCTCCTCAGACAGTTCAGGATGATCGGGACAGGGTTTGAAAGTTTTCGGATTCTTGCGGGGATGTCGGATGGTTTCGCACACACCCCTGTACACGTTTGCTCCCGCTAAAGAAGATAGAATCGCACTGTCTTCGGCTTGCCTGTGGTATCGCCAGGTTTCGCAAACTCGGAGTCGACAAGCCCAAGGACTTCAGCCGCAGGAATGTTCTCCTCAAAGAGCAGCCGCTCGACCTCAGGAAACCAGAGTGCTTTCGGTGGAGATATTGATGCGGAGGGATTGGCTTGTTGGTGCAGAAAGCCGAAGGTCACAACACATGACATGCGATCATTCTCACTCTGTGCAGTTGTAAATTGTTGACGCATGGATGTAGCGGTGTCGACTGCATGGAGAGTGCTTCTGTGCAATATGGCATATGGGTGCACAGCAAGTACCTTTTGTGCCAGTGTCTCCGGCACGGTGATGCACCCTCTTATGGATTTCTCAGCCTTAACTCGACCTCCGCTCTGCAGTTGGGACTTGAGATGAATCCAGGCTGCGACATGAGTGCCGTCTGCCTGCTGCGGTTACCTGGGCTGGAGAACAGACCGAGTTCATGCGGCAGAGGCTCTTCGCAGTTCCGTTGGACTCCGGGCACATGCCCCTTTCTGCAGGTTCAACAAGCAAGCCACCATTCGACATGAGCTTGGTGACGGGAGGACTTTGCCTCATGAGCGGAGGGAGGACTAGCTGCGTCCAAGCACTTGCCTGAAGGGTTGGATACGGCCTGTTACTCGGTCACGTCTCATGGCTAAGGCCTCGAGACAATTGTGTCTGTAATGGAGATTTTCAGTTGACTCCATGCAGATCGTTTCACTCGTAGAGGATGCCAGCCTCCCAAATGAGAGGCGTGACTGGCTCAACTCAGTCTGGCAGCGAGGCTTGTTAGCATTGCTTCCATAGACGACTGTTAGAAGACTCTGATCGATGTTGTTCTTTCGTTCATTGGTTCAAAAAGCATGTGCGTGACTGCATTTGTAGGTGCAGTCGCATTCCTTCAACGTTTCTGCTCAAGTGTTTCACAGAGGAAACAGACATGTGCTGTCTTCCACAAGCATGCGGGCATGTTCATGCTCAAGCTATCAGACACCTGTACATGCTACAATTTTGAAGCGGCTTGCAGTGAGAGGGTCGCAGCTTCGAAGACTAGCGCCCAAGGTATGCTTTCCATTTAATGATATGATTTATATCCCTTCGAGGGGAAAGAAAAACAATCGCTGTCCCTTCGTCACGGGGAGGAAGGCTTGGGCGAAGCATGGCTGTGCACCGCGTGTGCCGTCTGTGCCCGGTCCGGCCATGAAGGCAGTGCAGAAGCGAGGCCCGGCAAGATGCTGCATTGCTGCGACGCGCAGCGACGCGTAGGTGAAGGGTTTCGGGCCGAGGATTTGGAACGGCAGCTCACTGCGTTGTCATGCTACTGGTAGGCGTTTCGAGGACGCAGAAGCATTCAATGTCTTCAGGCGGGCAACGTCATTCCGGTCTTCTTTTTGGAGGTCGCCAACCCAACAAAGTGGTGCGGTGGAGTTGGGCGCAGAAGCTTCCGGGCCCGAGCTCAGGTGAGCGCCTGCGGGAGGCAGCGCCGGTGCCGACCGTGTGCTTTGACCTCTCCGAGTCGCAGGCATGTCGTCGTCCCGTCCATGCTGGGTAAAGACCGTCAAAACCCCTGGTCATGGCCGAGTCATGCCGGTGACTTCGCTTTGCATGTTCCCGGTGAGATCATGAGTGAAGTCTTGTGGTTCTCAAGCTTAGCCGCAAATGACAGAACCCGGCGGCCCTGTAGATGGGTGTGTGTGATGGTGTGTGTGTGTGTGTGCAAGGCATCCAAAACTTGTGCCGTGTCAAGATGCGAACCGGCGAGGAGTGCGCTTCGACAGAAACGCAAAGCTCGTTGCTACTTCTGCAAAAGTGGGGCTGCCAGCTGGGGCCGAAGTTGCTTTCCAACCACCTGGAGCCTGAGCCAACGTCCCTGTGCAGCTGCCGTCCGACCGTAGCACAATCGCCCATTGCCCAACAGTTATTTGATCTCAAGTCGGAAATTTTCTTGATCTCCGATTGTCGAGATCGTTTCCGGAGAACGGTGAGCTCTTGTCCCATGTTCACAAGGCTTGCTTGGTTGCCAGGAACGCGAGCTTCCCGGGACGTCAGTCAGCACCACGCCGGCGTCTCAAACCATATGCGCTGCGCCTTGCTGCCTTGCTAGTTTTCTTAGCAACATTCGATGTCCTCAAGCAAAGCCTGCCCACGCATCCCGGATCCGCGCAGGCACAGACACCAATTGACAATAACAACAACGTTACTTATGGGTTGTTTTTTTTGCATGCACTGTTTGCACTTGCAGACCTGTGTCTGGTTAGCTGTGCATTAGTTTGCAGCGTAGATCGAGTTGGCTGGGTATGGTCCCTGATGTGGGGCCGCATGCGCTCATCATATTGTAGAGGCTCCAAGGAAGTTGTTTTACACTCGTGTCGCTGCTGCGCAGATGTCAATTAATTAGCATGACCCGTGCTCGGAGGGTAGCTGGATTTAAATGGTTTCACCGTAAGGGTACCAAGACAGAACTCCGAAACATGGCTTCATTTTGTGGATGTGCCAGAAGCGACCATGCAACATGTCAGTGGGAGATGACGTTTTGACATGTGCACATCACAGTCATAAAGGGCTGCTGACGAGCAGTCTCACTTGTGGACTTGTTCTGCGCGACTGAGAGAGAGAGAGAGAGAGAGAGAGAGAGAGAGATAGAGACAGAGCGGAAGTCGACGGCAGAGATGCACCCGACCGAGACTTGAGTGACAGCGAGCTGAGTAGGGGCAGCCACCGTAGACGACGTATGCACGCAGCACTGTATGACAGGCACGGGGGTTTTGGCATCCGGGCAATGATCCACAGGTGCTGGCACGATTTACCGACCCGGCCGAAACTCACCTGAAGCCCCCATAGTGCAGCATGCTACCATGCCTGAAGGGGACCCGTGATGTTTCTGTAGTTTAAGTAGAGTGCAGTGTGTAACCAGCTGTGTGTTGAATTCCATGTTGATGGCGCGGGCCTGAGAGTGCAGAGCATCTTTCTGTTGTAGTTTCTCCTGCTACTGCTTGCGAAAGGGCAAACAGGTTCCAAGACGGAGCCCTCAAAACAGGGGGGGCGAACGGAGCCAAACGACCCACTCTACAACCAAAGATGAGGCCTGGGGGTTCACATACTTTAGGTAATGGTTTCGCCGGTGCTGCACGGGGCCTCATCGTGATAGGGGGTCTCACCCTGGCAAGACCAACCAGTGCGCAGATACGCGCGGGCACAGTCTCGTGCTGTGCTTTGGCTGTGTGCAAGCAAGACAGAGAGATAGAGAGAGAGAGAGAGAGATATCGCAGTCATAACTCTCGGAGCGAGTCCGGCACTGCCGCTGATGCCAATCTCGAAGACCCGAATCTTGAAGTGAACTGCATCGACTGAGATGACACATCCTCGAAGAGCATGGTGGAGCTTCATCCGCAGGAGGTAGGTGAAACAAAGTATTGAAGGACACAGAGTGCAAACCGATACCAAGAGATTCGGCAGCGTACCAACAAGAGCGCATAGCGCGATAACGACAACGTCGACAACGATGCCGACAACAGCAACGGCGGCAACAGCAACAGCAACAGCAGCAACACGACCACGGCTAGCATCACGAATGCAATCCCAGGTCCTGCTCTTCAGAGCCACACCAGAGTCAAAGGTTGGACACTTTTCTGAGCTTTGGGCTTAAGCTAAACAGTGAAACTGCAAAGACAGCGCATGCCAGGCATAATGGCTTGACTCCGCCGACTTTGGCTGAGCATTATGGCCTGTATCTGAGTTAACCCTTGTGTCGCACCTTGCCTTAGTCGCGCTGTTGAAGGCTCTTGACTGTGAAAATTTAGAGCTCGCTGATAAGCCACTTGCCAGCACATGTCCTGTGTTGTCATTGATTTCAGGAGCATTGCTCCAGCGCGAAGAGGAAGCTCGGATTCGGGTTGAGGCCTCCTTTTTGTTGGTGTCGTTGCTGGTGCGCATCCTATTTGCGTAAGGTCTAAGGCTAAGGTCTGGTGGAATCCAGCACATTCGCAGAGTGCCGTGTGCGTGTATCAGTAGCATGTCGCTTGTTTTGCCTCTGCCCGGGCTTCTGTGCGAGGAGAAGCTTCGCTTGGCTGATGAGCGATTACGCTGCTGCTTGCTTGGCATTGTTTCCTTTACTCGTTGCTCGCTTCTAGCACTCGTCCCTGCGAGTGAGGTTTTGTCGAAGCTACAGCTAAGTGCCCCGACTTGCTCATACATGCTCCCACAATCCGCGACGGCCCTGAAAATTGATTTGTGGAGCTTCCTTAGTTGCAAACGAGTCGCATGTCATGAGTATGCAGTTTGCTGCTTTTGGCTGGCTCTCCCACATAGCTATGCTACTGGGCCTCCCCGGGCCTCCAAGCCTGTACAGATTGCGAAGCAACGTTGTTGGCCTTTCTGCCCGGCCTCCAACGTGCGAGGATCCGCGGGCGTCACAGCACGGAGATTGGTGGGGTGGGCATGATAAACAGCGTCCGAAGGCGACCCGGTCCTCAGCGCTGATAGGATCGATGGGCAGCATTGTTCCTGATTTCTTTGCTACACATGGCAGCCCGAGCGAGGACCCAAAGTAGGCTCCCACACGCTTCAAGGGCCACTGGTCCAGGGTCGCTGCGCAAGCTACAGTCCTTCAAGACCTGCCTTCATTGTTGTAAGCACCAAACATACCCAGGACCTCTTTCCCTCATCCGTGTGTCAGATTGTTGACATGTGTGCCGAGAAGATTCCATCTTCATCGTCACCCGGTCACCTGGATGAGCATGGAAGTCCTAGAGGAAGACGACAACGACGACTGCCACTGCAACAAAAATCACCAATTACGAACTACCCTTGTGCTACTTCCTCCTCCTCCTCTACTAAAACTACTACTTCTACTTCTAGTTCTACTTCTACTGCTCCTGCTACTGCTGCTACTACTACTACTACCACCACCACCGCTGCTACCACTACCACTGCCACTGCCACTTGCCCTCACTGTTCTACCGCTACCCCTACCGCTACCGCTACGGCTACGGCCACTGCTACTGGTACTGGTACTGCTGCTGCTACTGCTGCTTGCTACTTGCTGCTTACTAGTACCACTGCCGCTGCCACTGCCACTGCCACTACCACTTGACCCGAATTTCGTCGTCATGCGATCCCCAAACTCGCTGAAACTGTTCGGACTATGTGCAGCTCAGGCTGTCGAGACGAGATGCGAAAGCGCGAGCAGCACTTCGATGAGGCAGTCCTAAACTGCCCCAAACAAAATGTTGCATTCGCTCCATGATGTCAGGTTGGTATAGACTGATTCTGTTTAACGGTTGTTATGACTGCATCCAGAGTATGAATGCATGATGAGAACATGAGCTCCAGCGGTTCAGGAAAAGCAGAAGTTGCTGGACCTGCTTGAAGAGAAGGCAAGGCAGTTTCGCTTTTCTGAAAGGCACACAAGTCTTTGCACATATGGTCGCCGGGTGAAGGAAAGAACAGCCTTTGTTGAGACTGTTGACATCCATGCATGTGCTTTTGCACATGACCAGCGCGGTGCATTGATGTTTGTAGTGCATGTGCAAAAGTCTTGATAGCAGCGTTTCGTCGCATAAGATTCTTCCTTGAAGTGGCGACCAAAGCGAATCTCAACCTTTGAACTGTTTTCAAAAACACTGGGAACCTTGCCGTTCACAGGAGACTGGCAAGAGTATTGCTTCCATCAACATCCTTCACTCGAGTGCCTTCACTTTCTTTTCGCAGGACCATATCCTTGCCTACGAGCAATCCCAGCTTGATGCCCGGGTGCTGGAGGACTTGAGAGAAAGCTTGGAAGACAGCTCTTGGTCGTAGTGGGTGGTTAAGAAGCAGTCGCAGCCTTCTGAACGCTTGACCGCGGCCACAAGTCAGGTTTGCTGTCATGACAAGCATGACTGCGGCACGTGAAATCGGACATAAATCAGCTTAGACGTTTCATTTCCAAGAGCAATGGCTGATGGCACGCGTGGTCTTCCCGCGCACTGCCTCATCTGCCTTCTCCTCATGTTTGCAGAAGGCGGTAGCATGGCAATTGTTCTGTCGAAATTCCTAGCAGGTCCTATCAGTGTAATAGTCGTGCCATCGGACATCTCATCCGAACACATCCAAACCCTGAGGTGGCTGGGGCCAGTGTCCCGTTACACCGCCAATGCCGGCTCAGTTCAACTTTTCGCGTGAGATGTTTACGTTTTGGGCGACGGAGACGGTGAAGGACGGTGACGAGTACTTCTGCTCCTCGTTACATGGAGTGTTTGCCGCATTCTTGCATCGGGCACGGGGGAAACGGAGCTTGTTCTCATGTTTTCTTGAGCTGGAGTTTTCGTACTGCTACTTCTTGTGCTTGCATGTTCACTCTGTTTCGACTTGGTATGTGCAACGTCTTTCGTGACTGATGTCATCCAGTTGTGTGCATGTATGATATGTATGGAGCCATGTGGGACACCACTGTGCAGAAGACTTCAACACACCAGAAAGGCAGTTTCACATGCTCATGCTGGATATCAGTGCCGGCGAAGCTGTTCCACGATGGGGAAAAGGCGGTCTGATCAACCCATTGTGCCTTTGAAGCGATTCGAACGTAATGCAGTCGCATGTCACCTGTCATACGGTGGCATTGGGCACTGTGTCTGAGGCTATTTACCAGGACGTTCTTTGTTCCAGGGTCAGACAAAAGCAGGAAGGCTCTGTGGACGGACTTTGGTCGTGAGTGCTGCATGTAGTGGTCATTCGGACGGTCATGGTTTTTTGCGGCTATTTCCATGCGGTCATGGGCATCGAAATCAAGATCCGCGCAGATCCCAAACACTGAGACTGGACGAAGATGTGACTTAAAAAGAGCAGAGAGTGAGAGAGAGAGAGAGAGAGAGAGAGAGATTTTGAGAGAGGGAGAGAGAGAGAAAGAGTGAGAGTGTCCTCAATGCCTCCAGACATCGCCGACCTCGAAGACAAAGCGACTTTGGCTGCTGACAAAGGGGAGGCCCCAAGATGGAAAGTTGCTGAAAACCACCAGGACAACCACATGCAATCCAACACCAAAGTCGGGGGCCAACGCGCAAGACATGTCCTGGGTTGGGGGGGCCACCCCCAGCACCATACCACCTACGGTGCCCCTGGGCCGACGAAGCATCTTCAGCCTGCGAGGGGCAGCAGATGGATCCTGGAGAGGAGTGGTGTGGCTGCCTCCAGACAACAGGCCGATTGCCCATCCAAAGCGGATGCGACATGAGCCCACGGTCGTCGCCTTCAACACCTTCGACTCCTACAAGGAAAAAGGGGGAACACTCCCTACAGGCACAGAGATCACCCTGACACCGGTTGAGCCCTCCATAGGCAGCACGAGAATCGAGGTGGGAGCCGCCATCACGCCGATATATTAGTTGGTGGAAGTTGACCATGTAGATCCAGCTCAACAGGGAAGCATTCCTCTCACAACAGGCGAAAGGGAGGGAAAATGGCGTGTGGGCTCGCAAAATGGGCTCACCTGCCAGTCCAGCACTTTGCGACATGGTTGTCGCCGTCAGCGCACAATCCTGGATCCACACTTTTCGCAACATCACTTACAACATCAAGCACTGCAGCACACCCACGTTCACCATCAGCGGCTTTTTCGCCACCCGTTATGTGGACAACCGCCTCTCCCTCGTCCCTACCAGCGCAGCCTCACTGCCCCATTTTCGGCAATTCACTTCCCCCCTTTTCTACGGTTCCCCCATCCACCTTGAGACCGAACCCGGTCTCGACTTCCTTGGCTTCACCATCGACTCCAGCATTACAGCATACATTACAAAGCCACCAACAACTGTCGCCACACTCAGCATCTCCAGACACACTGCTACGTAGCAGCATAAAAGCCCGGGCCATTTTGGCCAACAGGCTGGCGAGTCTCCTACGCTATGGAGCAGCTGATTGAGGTGTACACAAAAGCGGGCTACAAGCCACAATGGATTCGCGCCTGCCCGAAAGATTACAGCTGCACTCCTTGGATGCATTACCAGTGCATCTTTTGCAATTGTGTGCATTTATACTGCAGCATTCTGCCGCAGGTTTCGGTTCTCTTAGCTTGCAGTGGCTGCCCTCCATGCACATTGACAACATGTCTGACCAGTCGGCAGCGCCGGCGCAGGACATGTAAGTCACCGTGCCTACTGAAGCTCAGGCGCGCAGAGCAGCACTGTCTGAGGCCCCTTTTCAGGTCCTTACTGAACATCGCGAAAACAGCTCGGATACTGAGAGTGTTATCAGCATTTTCAGCGACTGGACATTTCGCGAGCAATTGGCGGAGTACATCGAGCAGACCAACAGTGAGATCGCCAATCTCCAGCAGCGAGTCACTAGACTTGAAGCCCTTCTTAGGTCGTAACACGCATCACCGGCTTGCTATGAGAGCAAAACAGCAGCAGTCAACATGCTCGATTTACGCAACGAAGCACCTAACACAATACCCGTGACTGTCATTATGCACGCAGCTTTCAGTGCTCAAGTGCGCAACCGACAACATGTTGCCCACCACACCGGTGACCGCGGCACGATTTCTCTACTTCAAGGCCTTGCCACGCGCATACCATGGCAAGCGAAAAGCACCTGAGGTTCATCCGCCTGAGCTGCTATCGATTGCCTCGTTGTTTTTGAGCAACCGTACTTTGCATTACCGGAGCAACATCCTGCACGTATCGCTCTGCTTCAGGACACAGAGATCCAGAGTGTCCAGAACCTCCCGAGGCTGTTCCAGCAGGGGCACACGATTCGTACCCATAAACCCAGACTTTTTAAAATATTCCCCCTGCAAAGACAGCAGGGACGAGACGGCACTTTGGCCAGTTCGAGCAAAAGTTGAATTCACTACAGCCTGGAAAAAGCCAAGGGAAAATCAGCAACGCACTCCCACTTTTCATGCATAACTTACAGATGTTTCACATATCCGTCTGCCGCAGCCTTTTTCTGCTCTCTTTGCATGCAACATGCCCAGGACACAACGCTCACGATCCCCGTCAGGACCTGAATGGAGGTGGTACTGGTGGTGCGACAACGAGGGTCGCTGGTCTTGGACCTGGTTTATCGCCACACGTGCCCCTTCCGCAGCGGAGATGAACAATCACAGACGCAGCTCGCGGACCAACCTAAAGATACAGGTTGCAGCGCTGGTGGGTCCTCTCTTACCAAACGCAAAAGATCCCTGACACCGTGAACATGCTTGATTAAATGCAACATTGCCGGTTTCACCGGCCACCATTTTCGAGTTACAGCATTGCAGCATGAAAAGACCGATTCAACATGCATCAGTGGTCTGCACACGCCCCGGTTTTGGGGCAGCGTGTGTGTGAACTCCTCTCGTACATGAGGTAAGACACAGCATGTCAGGTTTTTGTTTTTCGTTAGCAGGGGGCACGGCGCCACAGTTCGAGCCGTGCCAACGAAGCTAAGAACTGTGAGTGTGTACCTGCCAAAGCTGGGGCCCCTGTGCCAGCAAGATTAGAGGGCCCTGTGCCAAGATTAGTTTCGCAGTTGCCGCAGAGCAGGTTGCAATCACTGCATTCTGCACGTTTGCCACAATCTGACATGCATGATGGCTCGACCCCCATGACTCATCACATGTTGTAGTGGGTTGGCTTGTGCAAGTGCAGCTAGAGTATGTACTTTAAGTACATCTGTCCGCGAGTGCAGAAAACAGTTTCCAAATGTGTGTGTGTGTGTGCGTGCGTGTGTGTGTGTGTGTTTGTGTTTGTGTTTGTGATTTTTTGTGCAGGTGTGTGACAGTGAAGGTGAAGGAACAAAGAAAACCACAGATAAATGCCACAGACGTTGTAAGCTTGGAGCACGGTTTCTTCAGTGGAGCCACGAGAGAAGACCAAAATCTTGGATCCGGGCACAGCCACAGCCTGTCGGGGTACTCGAGAAACCGGCCACGAAAGCTAGCAGAAGGAAGCAGAAAAGGAAAATTTCGGGTGACTCGCTAAGCGAGACGCGAAGAGCACATTTGGGGCCGTTTGAGCCAACATGTATTGCAAACGGCAATACGCAAAAAGCGCCCTACAAAATAGTGACCCAAAAAGGCGGGGCAAGGGGGCCCTTCCACGCGACACCCCAGACGGGGCCTGCTTCTTGCCTTTGTGAAACCCGAGGATGCGGGGGCCTCCCCACCCAATTGATTCAGAACCTGAGAATGACCTGAACGCGCGTCCGACCCTGCCCGACACAAGGTAAATTGGCAAACGACGACTCCCGCACCCTCCACAGATTCCAAAAGGCCGATCGGCAATCCAGCGTGTGAAGTCGCAAGTATTATGCAAAATTCATCAAGGAGCTTCGGCACGCTTTGTCGAATGTACGCACCTTTGCATTTTTTCACAAAGTTTTCGTGAAACAATGATGTTTGCCCGAGTTCCATGATCCGCCCGCAGGACAAATCTGCACATAGACCACCAGTACATTTAATCACAGTAGTCACACGGCTGCATGGATTTGTGCTGGAAGAAGGAGGTGTTCACGATGATGAAACCCAAACATCAGTTTCTTCTTCGCAGACTGGGCACAGTCTTGATGAGTAAGCAACTTAACGGCACAAATGGGGAGTATCGTGGCAATGCGAAACCTGCCCCGGATGTAAACTAGAGACAGGTTCGGCTCAACCATGAGCTTGAGCAGTGCTGTCTTGGAGCCTTACGATTGCGGAGCTTGCTTGTTCCAGCAGGATCCCTTTACAACGCATCCAAGCTTGTAGAGGTGTTGTAGACAGAAATCATCTCCAGTAGATGGGCGGGATGCAGCGAAGTAGCCGACACCCTGCGAGCATCAAGTGTGTCTCAGGCAAAATCGAGCAGAGGCCCTTCAGCTCGTCGCTGTTTATTCAGGAAGTTGGCTTTGCTGGCAGTGGACGACGGCAATGGCCTTGCATGCCGTGGGATTACTGCGACTTCGAGCTTCTCAACTGCCGAGGCGCGGTCGAAATTCTGTGATCTCGAGCTCAGCTCGGACTAGGTTCCGAGGCACACTTGCCGTACCATATCATATCATATCATATCATGACATATCATATCATATCATATCATATCATATCATCTCATATCATCCATTTGCTGTTGCACTAAAGGCTGTTCTCACATTTCGTTTGTGTGTTGCAGTGCGGACGAGATGCAGGCAAAGTGCTGTACAAAGGCAAAGCTGAAACCATGGACAGTGTGGAGCGACCTGGTGAAAGAGTTGTCGCATACAGGTTTATGCATGAGGATGGAAGCTACATTGGGCGAAGTAGTGAACTCCCCAGTCGATTCATACGCTTGGGCGGGATATCAGAGAAGCGGGACGAAGTCATGATTGTGAGAGACACTGGCGACAACATCGTCTTGAAAGTGCAGAAAGATCCAAGCCAGTTTTGGGTAACTCATTGGCAGGGCACCATCGAATCACGTGGAGTCACTGGCTTTGCCGATGTTCGCTCGGTCCCAATGGCTGACCCCTTGTTCGTGAGCTTCCTGGTGAGCATGCAGTTTCGCAACAAAGGGCTGTTCAGTCCACTTACGACGTGCATACTGCTGTTAGTTCTGGCAACGGGTGTCTACTACGTAGTGAGGAGACGGCAGCTCTCAGCCCACGGGTACGAAGCTGATGACGAATTGATAGACTTGGCAGAGCTTCTGCCCAGCAGTTCCCCTCTCACAGAGCAGGGCTGCTGTGCAGGAAATCGGCCACGATAGATTCACCAGTGTAGAGACGTGAACCCATGTTCAACGACCAGTTCATGGCAGCATCTGGTGAGGTTCAATAGACATCCCGAAGCTATTTGTTTCACCATGATGTCCAATCTCCATGTGCTGCAATCGCAATGACGAGCTGCTGTGTGGCGGGCATCCAGAAATTTGAGGGTTTTTGGTAATTTGCAGCTGCTAATTGCCAGATCAACAGCCATCTGTCATGTGGAATGACAACTGTTTTAAGCTATGCAAGATCCGAGATCTCATGCCAGACGTTCCCAAATCCATCCCAATGTCCAAGCCAGTAAAGATACCGTTGCTTCTCTAATGGTATTTCGGCAATCCTGCACGGAAAGAACTCACATGAGGATTTGCGTGTATTGGAAAGGCACAGCGATATCCAACCAGCAAGTGATGGCAGGCTTACCAGGCGAGCGCCCAACCCCAGCCTTTCGGTTGAAGTTTTGCAGTTGCACGGCATAGAGTCTAGAGCTTTGATACTACGATGTCCATGAGAGCCTCAATGATTTCTCACTGCATGACTCAGTCCATTTCCCCTCGGCCCATTAATCGAACACTGAGTGCCATCGGGTCGTACGCACACTTAAGCAATTCCGGTGAATGGAGAGCACTTCGTGTGATTCCAGCCCTTTTGCCTGGAAATGTGTGCTGCTGTTGCTGCATCGCTTCCTGTTTGATTTCTGAGCTCTGCCGCTTTTCTTCGAACTTGTGAAGGAGCATGAGCGGGCACGCACCGAGAACCATCGCCTTCGGGAGCGGGTGAAGCAGCTCCTTGATTGCATCGAACACTGGACAGATGTCGAACGCATTCATCAAATGACAAGGTATGAAACTGGTCAAAACAGCACCATCCTTCGGAGACTGACGCCCATGTCTTTCATTGCCTGTGATATTTTCAGGTTGAACATGATTCAGAAGAACCTGCTGAAGCAGGCCGAGGGCTCGGTAATCCTGAGCAATGCCGAGACTTTGTGTTTGTTGGGTTTAGTTGCTCGAGCTGCGTACCCGTGTGCCGCTTAACGAGCAGATCCGCTTTGCTTGGATGGTCCGGCAGAGATTCAGCCGGCGGTCTTGAGCCCTCACACCAACTACATGTATGCTCTGCCTTTAGAGAGGTCTCCGTGCTTCTCACAGAGCGGGAGGAGCTCAAGCGGCTGGTCGCCAGAGCCTAAGCGGCGAGTTCCAGCAAACGATGAGCTCACTGCACAGATCTGGCATCTGACCTACAGTACATATATTAATATATACATGTAAGTATCTCGTTTCATTTAAGGATGAAGTTCTTTTTGCTCGGCTGCAGAGATCTCAGCCTGTCTCTGAGTCGACAGCACACCTCATTCCTCTAACGGACTGGGAAACAAGCCGCATGTTCCTCGACAGCCTCAACAGTCGAGTCATGCTTTCGTTCATCGCGACGGCCCTACATTTTTGATGGTGATTTTGCTTCTTTCAGGGTTTGCTGTGGCTGTGGCTGTGAGAGAGCTTGTTTTGCCAATGTTTGTCACGGTCACCTCCAAGTCGAAGCGCCGTGAGCCCCCGGCACTCTTTCGGCATAAGGTGTGCCGCTCCCTGTTTCGAGGCTTAAAGCAACTCAAAACTCTCTTCACTGTCTTCGTTTTTGGCCATGTGCGCTCTCTTCAGCCTCGCCTCTCCTTTGCTAACGCGACTCCGGAGGATACAGCTCCAGTAGCTTTCAAGTGCTACCACAGAGACTCAGGAAAAGAGACCCCCGAGCTCGCGCAGAGGCCGGACATAGAGGATCGCAGAAATTCAGACCGTAAGAGCTGGACAGGCGCTGAGAGTGTGCTTATTTTAGCGCTCGTTCGCTCCGCTACGTGGCTCTACAAGCCCTTTGTGTGCAAGGCCGTGCTGTTTCTTCAACATCCAGCTGCCAAGATCTCGGAAGTTGGCCATTGCAGGGGTCGGCCTACCCACACTTTTCAGATGTTTTGCTGCAGACGGCCGAGGTGTCAGTTTGCACGCCGCAGACTTGGCATCAGTGCAGGCCTTACGCTGGCTGGGTTTACCAGGAGTTTCGGAGAGATTTTCGGATACAGATGTTTTTTTTTGGCTCAGGCTGTTCGGAATGGCACGAAGTCGACGGAGCTCTCGCTCAGTGACTCGCACCTGGCACAGGCAGATCAATGTGGAGAGCATGCCGCGTGTCGGGTGAAAGATGAACCGACAAGATTCGGCCGTACTGCAGGAGTCAGGGGATGATGGTCTCCAGGAGGTGCACTACCAGTAGCTTCACCGATCTTAGGCTTTATTTCTGCTCAACGCTGCGAGGTGCCAGAGACGGCTCGAAGCCGACCGCACGAGGAGACACATGTCCAATCATGTCAGAAGTGCTTCGGGGCTTTCTCGGTGGACTCTTTTGCTGGCGGTTTGAGGAGAGCCCCGAGCGATCTGTGTCGAGGGACTCTAGCCCCTCGGAAAGCTTGTTGTAAGCCGCAAGACGAAGCAGAAGCTGCTCTTCACAGAATGCTTTCGTTTCTTGTGCTCTTTATTCAGGCTTGCGATGGCAGTGCAGCAGTCAGGAACTGCGTCAAACTCAGATTCGGGAGGCTTTACGAGGGTAAATGACTGTGGCTCCTGTCTTTTCGGCAGAGTCTGCAGATGGCTCGTGGCTCCTGTTTGCTCGCTGCAGCCTGCCTCGACATAGCGAGGCTACGTCAGATTCGGATAGCTGGCTACCCTGCTGCGAGAGCAGCCATTGCGTCGCAGAAGGCTCCCTCCCGGAAATCAAGGGCGCCGCTTCGATCCGCTTTGCACCCGCGAAGCGGCATGCAGGTCAATGGCTCGCGTCCACGTCGCACTTCCCAGGCGCCTGTGACTTCTGATCAGCACATTTGCGAGGAGCATTTAAGCGGCTGTGGTTTGAGGGGAACGGCCGAAGCAATCCTGCCTCGCCCTTGCGCGCCAAAGTGGAGGACGGGATGAGCTGCATCACCGTGCTGTCGGAATCGCCTTTCTGTTGCAGACACTTGCTCGAGCGCTCTGATGTAACAGTCAGTTTGGGTAAAAGTTATATTGGGTCAAAGTTATAACCTAGGATAACCTAGGCAAAACCTGTCGGTGATATACGGGCGAACAGATCTGCCAGTTCTGCTGCTTATCACAACATCCATCAGAGAAAATGTTGTGCGAGTGATGGCTAGAGGGATGAGGGGTCTTCTCAGCTGCATAGATGTTCGGCACCATGCCATGAAGCATGTTAAGCTGGTTGCAGGCAGCTTCAGCAGACTTCAGCACAGGGAGCTGCCCTCTTTCTACTGTCATGGTGAAAGCGTAACCACGATTGGATCAGAGCCGCCAGGAGGAAGATTTCATGACCTCTTACGCATGGCGCTTACCCAGAGTTGTGAGTTTCTCCACATGGAGTACGTTCTGGCCAGGCCCGGCACATCAAGGCGTGGAGCCCAGGTGTCTCCTTCTTCACCCGAAGGGTGTCCGCCTTGGCGCTGCCAAGGCATACAACTTGCGCCAGAATGATTCGGACTGTTTAGGAAGTGTTTAGGAGCTGTCTGAAGAATCAGACCTGGCTCGCAGACGGTTGGGACAGCGGAATCCCGGAGTTTTAAATTGAGGCTATGGGCTGTGACCGGAACGCTGTCATTCCATGAGTATGCCGAGCATGCGCGACAACTTGCAGCATGAGTGCTGCGATCACAGCCCCTCCCCCCCTTTGCCTGATTGTATTTCGAGGTTCTTAATGCAAACGGTATACGAGTTCGTGAAGGCTCTGCGCCAGAACTCTCTGCATTTTCACCTAATGTTGAAAGCTTTGCCGCCGAGAAGCCTCAGACAGCTGCAGCACATCAGTCTTGTTCTTGGCAACCGCTCTTTCCGTTTACCGTCAGTTGCTACAGCCGGATTGCTCGCATAGGCTTTCGCGATAGAGTCATGTGCTCCGCAATTATGCTTTGTCAACCCCAACCCCGAGAGACATGCAAGCTGTCGAAACGGCGGCAATCGTATCCAGAGAGAGAAGCCTGTATCTCCTGTGAATGGATCTCCGCCCCGACCAGTGCTTGCACAATCTCTGACTGCAGTTGGAGAAGCGGTTTCAGCAAAACGACCATGAAATGAACGCCTTCTTGGAAATCGATGAAAACTGGGATGGTGCACTTTGGTGAGCTGTGCAGTTCTATTTCATGTTGCTCAAGTCAGGTCATGGCATGCATATTTCTGAATGGCACTCTGACACGTATAGGGAGCCTATCAACTGAACTACTAGTAGGAGAGAGGAGAGGCCGAGAGGCTTGGAGAAGAAAGCTCCGCAAGTCGTTGTGAGCTTCCACGGCAGCGAAAGCCACGTAACAATTTCTCCAAAGTTTCAGAAGCCGCTCATGACAGGGTTCGAGATTTCACACCATCACTCTCGTAAACGGGCATCGGTCATCCTACGAAGCGCTTTGAAGGCTTGCTTTTTATGCATCCTAGCTCTTTCCGGCCAAAGCTTGCGAGTCAGGCTGCAAATGCGACGCAACTCCTAATTATCGCCCATGATGGGGTGATGGCAGAGACATTGCCATCGCGTAGTGGGGTCGTGTTGAGAGGTGGGCTCAACTGTCGTTGCCGAATGAGGCGTCGTGTTTGAGATATCGGAACGACCGCCATCGCCTGCCCAATGAAGCGTCGTGTTCGTGTTTGACTTTTGGGAGCTACCGCAATCGCTTGTCTCCGCCGCATATATGTACACCGACAGACAGATTCAGAGATAGATCATAGATAAATGAATTTAATAGATAGACTTGTTCCCCAATTAATTTCGGGATCAGTCTAGGCGTAGAGCAGCTGATCAGATGCGATCCGCCGTGGCCATTTTGGCGAAAGCGATCGCTTTCGATTTTTCTGATCGGCGTGGGAAGTTTTTCAGTCAGCTCCTTCCTGCTGCTTTAAGTTCCCAGTGTTGTGCGTTAGATTTTCAGCTTTAGGCGCTTTCCTACTTGGTAAGAATTTTTTTTTGTTTGAGCCATGTCGGAAGCCATGGCTTCCACGGCAGCCTAAGCATCGTGCACGGACGAAGCCGCCTTTTCTAGGGGGCCCCGATCGAGGGCAAGAAAGAAGGCAAAGGCTCCAGAGGCTCCGCCGCTAAAGGAAAGAAAGGCTACTTTGGCAAGAAAGGTGGCGGCAAAAGTTTGGGGAAAGGATCATAGCAAAGGAGGAGGAAAGTGTTTGGGACAGGGAAGCAAGGGAAACAACGGCAAGTTTTGAACAATAAGGGGTCCACAAGAACCCCTAGTGGGAAAGTTTGGACACCATGGATATGAATGTCGTTCCAAGGTGAATCTCGTTCAACAAGATACAATGGATGACGCCGTCTCTGTTCAGACCAGGGCAAGCTCGAGTGGCCCGTTTTAAATTTACATTTCTTCTGCACCGAAGAGTCATGTTCGAAGGATCCATGTGATAGATTTGGAAGATCTTGAGGAAGATAAGGACGAGCTACTTTGGTGCTCGACTTAACACAGCAGAACTTGAAACAGAATTGCCCTGCACTGGTGCATTGGGACACATGATGATTGAGTTTGTGAAAGTGAACTTCAAGCAGAACCCGCAGGTGATCCTGAGTATGTTTGGACGGTGCGTGGAGTGGGTGATGTAGAATGTAGAACATGAAGTCAGCCTTGATTCAAGTGCCGATTGCAAAGTACTTCCTGTTGACTTATTCCAGGGAGTTGGTCAAGGGAGTCATGAGAGCTCGGTACTTCCGGATGCTTAAGGTTACCGAATCCCGCAAGGACGTGTTTGCTCAAGTTCGAGGACCTCTTTCCCACCTTGGAAAGATGTTTCGAGATCAATGGAACATAGAACTTGATCCACAGAAAGGCTGGAGGTTCCACAAAGGTGATCGGTCGTTTGCTGTTCTTTGGAGCAAAAGCTCACTTGCGACACACATGCGCATTCACAAAGTAGATCACAATGATGGACACCTTGGTACTGTACCGGTCGACGTCTCTACTCATCCTGTGATCTCAATTTGCATCTGCAAGCTCTTGGTTGGAGTTTGACATGAGAGATGGTTCCCGTCCACCTGTCGGAAAAATCCTTACTACCGAACCTGCGCCTCGTGGTCAACGCCCACATGAAGAGCCCCAAGATGACCCAATGCAAGCCCCAGGTCTCGACGAGGATTCCACCAGACGTCCGGATGGGGAACAGCAGGAACCAGATCTAGGACGCATAGCGACGTTCTCCTGTGGAAGTTGAGGCGTCCAAGAATGGATCGAAAGAAGTGGTTTGGAAGAGATTAAAAAAGCATTGTGATGGCAAGGTTGGTTGTCGGGTTCAGGGTTCAGGGTTAAGATATTATAGGGGTTTAGGGTTTAGGGTTTAGAGGTCTAAGGGCTTAGGGGTTTAGGGGCTTAGGGTTTCGGGTGTTCTCCACAGATCGCACGCTGATTAAGCGCGCTGTAGTGTAAAGACATGCCCATCCCAAGACCACCCATACACAGCTCACAGCGAGCCAAACCGGAGCCAGCCAAAACTCAAGCCAATACTTTCAATCAACGTGGATTTCGAAGACATGCATGTTGCAAATAGCAAGTTACCAACGTTCTCCAAGGCCTTTGTCACTGATATTTGGATGTGTGGAACCCGCTTGAAGTCGTGACGGATTAGGGGAGGTCCCAATCCTTGTCCGAGCAAAATTTCAGGTTTGCGGGTCGTATTTTTTCAATTTGGGGAGGGGACCGTGGAAATATGTTCAAGTGTTTGACGGTTCGGAGGCTCCAATGCCAACAAAGTCTGAGGTTTGTGTTGGGGTACGTCCTGAACCGAACGGCCCTGTCATTGACTTGTCGACCTTTGGCCTCGAATCCCTGTCCAAGCAAAATTTAGGGTTTGCGCTGGGGTACATTCTGGGCCGAAGGGCCTTGTCATTGATACTTCGATCGATCGGTGGAGGGGCTCCCGGTCCGCTTAGAAATGTGTTCAAGCATTCGCCGGTTTGGAGGCGGTTGGGGGGCCCTGGTCCATTTGGAGGCCGCCTCAAATGCTTGGGGGGTTGGGGGCCCCCAGCCTTGTCCGTTTGGAGGCCACCTCAAGTCGTGAAGGGTTGGGGGGCCCCCAACCTTTGTCCATTTGGACACTGCCTCAAGTCGTGAAAGGTTGGGGGCCTCCAACCCTGGTCCATTCGAAAGTCGTGGAGGGTTGGGGGGTCTACTTGTGCAGGGTTGGGGACGTCTTCCCCAAAATGGGGTTTAGGGTCATAATTTGTACATTAGCGTTTAGCTCGGCGATGCTAGCTTGTTGCAGCTCTAGCAGAGCCTGCTTGGTCTCGCTGAGCGTTCGACTGCGCCCGCCTACGCCAACAGCAGTGAGAGGGGTGGCGTTTAAGGTTTAGGGTTTAGGGTGAGCTTGTAGAGGCCGTATAGATCCCGTAGTTCCCGTGTAGAGCCGTAGGAAAGTGACAACATTGCTGTTGCCGTGACGGGACGTAGCATGTAACACAGATATATACATACTGATTGCATGTAGTCTTATATATGTATATTTGTTGTATGGTACATATTATATTATATATATATACATGTATATGTACAATGTGTTATACACTACATAGTGTATATGATAACTTAAATATTATAAGAACTAACAGTATATATATATATATATTTATCTATTGATCTATTTATCTTTTTATCTATTTATCTATTTATCTATTTATCTATTTATTTATTTATTTATTTATATATATATATATGCACATGTATGTGTACTGCATGTCGTGTGTAATTCTTTCTTACGTATTATATACATACATTTACACATAATATCTGTTATAGCTTATTTCCTATGTCTTATATATATATATATAGTATATGTTGCAAGTTATATCATGCTTATTTTAAGACTTTTATTATATGGCACATAGGTGTCTTTTGTATTTTGTTTTGTATAACTACATATGAAATGGTATATACTAGTCATTATTTGTTACATTTCGTGTTAATCCTGCATATTATGTTGTATTTGCTACACACTGTATGCTATATATCTGAAATCAAGTATTGTGCATTCTGTATCGTGTCTGTTGCTATATTTCGTACATCTTTTTTTGATATAATTGTATATATGTACATGCATATTATGTTGTATATATATATATATATAGAAACATGATTCAGTAATCGTAATAACGAACATTATATATATATATATATATATTAGATGATAGGTTACATGTTATTTATTTTTCACACATACATATACGCATACTTATATATATCTATATGTATATGCATATATTGTTTATGTTGCAAGTTGTATAATACTTGAACCTATTAGCAAGCTTGGACCGTGTGCAAGTAGTGAAACCCGGAGATACAAAGAGAAGCGGAGCCCGCAAAGCCCGGAGGCCTGGAGGAGCTCGTAGGAGCAGAAGCCGGGAGCCTGTAGACTAGAAGCCCGAGAAGGCCGGCAGACACAGCCCGTAAAGGCCCGTAGAAGCCCGTAAGGACCCGGGCCTCATTTAGGACCCGTCACGTTATGCCGATGACGCATTTCAGCTGAAATGTCCATATCCGTCGCTGGGCCATCTTGCAGATCAAAGAACCATGCCCGATTCGCTAGCCGTTAGCCCAGCAGCATGAGACCCATCTTTAGCGAGTTTCATGGTCCTCTTCGATATCGAAGAAGCTGCCCTTCCTTCGTCGTTTAGGTGCAGGGTATGTGTGGATGGAGGATAGTCTCGGGGTGGTATTTCAAGAACGGTCGAGTCACCCACCAGCTACGCTGTCTTGTTGAGCCATGAAAGGGGCATCTAAAGGACCACATGACCTGTCGTGCCTTGTTTTCCTGGGTAGCTTCACAGGATGCATCCGGTCTCGCCCAGAGCAGATGCTGGTTTTGGGTGTTGAGTGTTATTTCCGGGACCATGGCAGAGGGGGCCCCGATCGTGGCAGTCCGATGCCATCGCCTTGAGGATATGGTCCACAGCCTGTCCAGCAAAGAAGGCTTGTCAGTGCCCTTGATGTACAGCTATGTTTACGTCGGCCTATATACATGATGGGACGTCACAAGGTACAAAACGTGTGCATGGACAAGTACTGGATTGGTGCATGACTCAGCTCTTGTGCATTTTTAACAGAAGCTGTCTTCTGCTGCAAGCGCCAAAAATCTCGAACCCTTCCACTCCGTTTCGCAGGCATGGCAACTTTGGTTGGATCCAGGCCTGTGCCCCCTCTGCCAGAAGCACCAGTCTGCTCCCGCATCATGGCTGTGCATGTGTACGTGCGCATGCATCCGTGCATCATGTGGCTTGCCCTTTGGGATGTCTGCCGCGAGGCTCTGCAGCCTGTGGAGCATCCTGAAGCTCACAGGCAAGGCAAGCAAAGCGAAGCCAGAGTAGAGCGTGTGCATTAAAGGTATCCTTGGTTGTGTGTTATGGGAACCTTGCGCCGTTTCACTCGCTCGAATGGGTTGAGTCCATGACAGAAGTAACCAATCCATCTTTCGCAGCACGCTCACGAACCCTAGCGAGGAATCAGGGCCGTATCTACATGGCCGGCGAGGCTTGGCGAGTTGGAGCTGTCACGGATGATTCTTCACACAATCACAGTCCACCACGAGTTTGCAGAGCTTTGGCGGCCAGGACGTACAGGAAGACCTTTCGGGCGTCGGCGCGGATGTCACTTTCTTCCTGCGCCTTCGGCTCATGGCCACAACTGTTCAGCTGTTGCGATTCTGCAGAAATTTCCCTGGTTGAGCTGATGGACCTGTTTTTGCCTGTACCAGGTACCAGGACGCCAATGGCCTGGGCGCGATGAATGCGAGCGCCTCGAGGGAGGGGAGCGGCCAATGAGCGCCACCGCGACTGACGCGACCGCGATGGGCTGCGTCGCTTCGTCGCTTCGTCGTTTCGTTTGCGACCGCGACTGCGGCCGTGATGCGAGGTGCGACCAGCGCCTCTCGACGCGGCTTGCAGGCTGCCGCCGGCGTCTCTTCCGACCCAGCACAAGGTGACCGGCCTGCGCTGTGGCACTGCGCTTTAGCGACCGGATTTAGCCTCAATCCTCGTTCGGGCAAGCTGAGACTTGGGGTTGACAGGGTGGATATGGCCGTGCGACTGGTGGAGCAGGCTCACGGAACAAACACCAACTTGGGGTCTGAGGCACGAAGGCAGATGTGCGGAAACCCGATTCGATTCGATGCCATGCCATGCCTGGACTACAAACTTCTGGCCGATCTTAGCTGCTCCGGAGGTCGAAGGAGTTTAAGGAGGGCTTTTCTCGGGGATTCTCGCTAACGTTGTCTGTGAGCCTCAGGCACCCTGCCTTCTTGGCTTCACATCTTAGCGAAAAGCTTGTATTTTGGATTCGGGGCTTCACGCCTGTACACAGGTTTTCTCTGGTAATCTTAGCATGAACCACTAGACGAAAACGGAAGCTGTGCTACATGTGGGTGCTCGTGCACACTCTCCTGTTCCACTTTTTCCGTGAAGGGTTGCTATCAGTGGAGCCACCGATGCATGGAATCGAATTTGGAAGAGAATGCAGACAGGTCCTTCGAGGGAAGGAGAGCAGAACTCATATGATGCATGGCAGGCCGACTCCAGTGGAATGCATCGGCAAACCAACCAAAGGTGCTGCTGAAGTCTCGTGCACCATGGGCAAAGACGACAATGATGCAAAAGGCCAAAGCCCCACGGTTAACTCCGAAAGGTTACGGTGGTGGCTATGCGCCGGGTGCTCGGTAGCCGGTAGCCGGTAGCCGCCGGTAGCCTGAGTTGAGCTCGGCCGATTCGGAGTCTGCAAGGCCGGTCACCCGCGGAACCGTAGAACCTCATGACAAAGTGCTCAGCCCCCAGTCGAGTCGCTAGCGATCTGCAGATGCGAAGATATGACCTGCAGGTTGGAGCGCGTCCACACTGCTTTAGCCAAATCAGTCAACAAGGCCACAAAGTTCGGGCAGTTCCTTGGGTCCGAGAGTGCTTTGCGGCTGAGCCTTACCTTGGCCCTCCTTCCCGTACTTTGCCGTCCTCGGTCCTGCTGGTCGCCAAGTTGACAAGCACTTCAGCTACTTGCGCAGCTCGGACTCATGGTGGTTCACGGTTCAATCATTCAGCTCTGCTGCACTGCTTCACTGCGTGCTCAAGTCTTCAAGGGCGATGAGGGAACGTTCCGGGCAAATTCTTGAGGCGTGCTTTTTGTTGCATGTTCGAAGCGCATCCTGTACAATGCCTACCGACGAGAGTGGAGAGCCCTACTATCGGTAGTAAGATTGCTTTGTTCTGCCCGGGGGGCAGGCGACCAAGAAGATCGCTGATCAAGAAAAAGACTGGGATCAAGTCGAGCTTTGCAAGCGGATTGTCCGGTGAGCCTGCGGATAGGCCGTTGCTGTCGGATGCTGCTTGGCTTCATGCATCTTGTGCAGGTACTTGTACAAGGGAGCTCAAGCCCCCGAGCTGCTGACACTCCATTGGCGTCAGGTGCGGATTCACGGGCAAACCGATTCTAGTCGCCTGGGAGTCCTTGACACAAGGCATTGCTCATGCCACATACGCCACTTGCTGGTTTGGACCAGTGCTTGCAACAAACTCCTCAGCTGCAATTCGGGTCAGCTGATGCGAGGCGGCCGAGCAATTCGTGGACACGGCCATGCAAGGTTGATGGGCTGGCATTCACCAGTTAGGATCATGCTGGCATGAATGCACGATGACACGTCAAGAATTCATGATCGATGACACGTCAAGAATTCATGATTCCGATTTCTAGGTGGTTTTTCGAATAAAAGCAGTAACATCTTCCAGCTACATAGAAGAGGGCATCACCACTGCCCGATTTTTGCTGGAAACTCTGGGTGAGACGGCGCCAGCCGATTGCTTTTACCGGCTACATCGTTCGTCCCAGGCTTCACTGCTGCCTGTGGAGACAAACCTTGGCCACTGCCCAAGAAGCGCGAAGCGATGCGAAGGGGGAGTGCTTGCTGGTCTCGTCTAGACTTGGAGGTTCTTTGAGATGGATTTGACCTCGGCCTTCGGCATGGCTTTCTGGGAGATCCATTCGGGTAGCGGGCAGCGCATGGCCCTCGGCCCTCAGGCCTTCAGGCCCTTTACCTTCTGCCCTCGACAAAGCGACCAGGTGCACAATGGTCAGAAGTGGAGGCGGTCCTCAACAGCAAGTGTGCCTGGCAGAACGTGCATTCGACAGAACTCGTGTTGGGACTACTTTGTACGCTCGATTAGGTACGAGCAGTTGATGGATCTCTGTCTGCTTGAGAAGGTGGGGCAGCCAAGCGCCAGCCTGGAATTCTGTTCAGTGCACTCTCTGAGGCCATGTGGGACTCTGCAGGTGGTCTCATACCAGACCAGGAGTCGCCAACCCAGCACGGCCATGCACGCCATGCACGGCCTTCGGCCTTGTCCCTCGGCGTGGTTGGGCGTTTCTGGCCACAGGCCTCTTCGCAATAAGTTGTACAAGGCCAGCGAGCATTCGTCTTCGTGTTCAGCGCGAGGAGAAGCATGTCGATTTCTGAGGCATTGAAGACCAGCCATGAGATTGCCTTCAAAGAAGCGACGGAAGCTCCAAGGTTCCTCATTTGCACTACTTGTAGCGTGAAAATGCTGATGCATGCCTTCATTCTTTGAGTGAGAATCTTTCCCAGCTTTACTGCTCACGCCTAGGATGGGAGACCTCCAGCGAGTCGAGCTCTTCACAAGGTGCCTTTTTGCCAAATCGAGACATTGTCCCTTTTGCCGTGTTGTTGCCTTGCTTGTACCTCGCTTTTCTTATTGCGAGGTGGCCAGTGGCTGTTTACACTTTCTTCGGAATGCTTCCAAGAACGATCAAGCCTTTTTCAGACGAAGCATCGACGCTACAGAGGATGGGCTCAGCTTGTCACTGGCTTTACGACCTGGCAGGGCTTGGGTAGACAGCGCGATCAACAAGTCCTACTCTGTGCTGGAGCAGGCGGTGGCATGCGGTGGCCATCAACGGTTGGTGGGGCAACGAAGCAGATTTGGTAGGGCTTGGGCTCCTTGAGATACGAGCGCAACCTGGTTTCGCTTCAGGCTTTACGGACTACATGGTTCGTGCATGTCTGGCTGCCGTTTCTATTGCAGTTGAGCCAGACAGTTCGGCCTCTTTGCAGATTGCGTTGTGGTAATGATCCTGGCATCACAGGGCAACCTCATGAATGCGGACAGTGTTGTTGCACTGGCGTGATTGAAGCCTGCAGGGGCAACTTGCATCGGCAGATGTCAGGTGCAAAAAGTGGTTGGACTTGCCAGGTCCAGCTCTTCCAGGAGCTGCTGGCACCTTTCGGGGAGGAGTGGGGCGAGCTTTGATCTGACAAATTGGGTTTAGGGTCTAGATGCTTTTTGACAGCACAGCTCAGCAGGAGCACCCGTTTTCCTGTATTCCTGCCGCCACTTCCCCAGATGATCACAAAAGGCTCATCGTTAACGGTCACGAAGCATGGACTCGTAGCAAAGGAGCCTCTGTCCTAGGTCTTGCAGGGGCCTGCAGGTTTTCGGTAGGATGGACCGGGCTAAGGGCCCCGGCCTTGAATGCACTTCGGTCTGAGCTGAGGTGCTGACGCAAAGTATTGGTCGTCCACCAAAGGATTGGGACTTTCTGCAGGAGGCTGTCAGGCGCCTGCCACTGAAGTTGTGGTTGTTACTACGAAAGATCCGGCTTGGCCGCTGAAGTTTCAGCGCAGGCAGTTCTTCCTGCTGTGGAACAACCCTGAAAACGGTGCTGATGCGGGCTACGGGCAGCGTCGCAGCCTTGGTTCTCCCTGAATCTCTGGACTTTGCCGAAATGCACACCGATCAGCATCGACGAAAGCACGGTTGGGTAAACAGTGCTACAAGTCCATGTGTTGTGGTCGATTGATTTTCTGTTGCATTTTGCTTCCGACTTGTCCGCTCAGGAGGGTTAGTGTGTGTGCGTGGTTCAATATGCTCAGCATTTTTCCATGTCTGTGTAAGCTTGTTTTCACGCACCTTTTTATTCCAGTCCCAGGTGCCCGGGCTCTTCGAGTGTTTGCAAACTGTTCTACTTACCTGCTGTCGTTGTGGATTGGCAGGCAGAGCTGCCGCTTTCTGAAGTTTGGAGGGGTCCGTCCTTAACAGTGATCCTATTCACTCAAGTTGTATATCATGTATATGCACATGGTGTGTCATGTGTGATACTTCTAGATTTAGGTTCTGTATCGTCTGGTATAGGTGATTCAAATGTGGTTGTGGATTGCAGATGATACTGTTTGAATACATATTCTGATGTCTCTGGGATCCTCAACAGCAAATAGTCTCGGCTCAAGCGCGGACTCCACGCGTCCGAGACTGGTAACTGCTCTAGCGGGGGGGGCGGGCTAACAGCGCTTGCAGGTGCGGAGCCATGGCTCCAAGTTCTGGAGGCGATCGAGGCCTACGGCTTCTTTGTACGTTTGAGAAAAAGATGATGAAGGACTTGCGAGCTCTGGCTCAACTTGGGGAAGCTGACCTCATCCCACTGTGGGGTCGCAAAAACGGGGGACAATCTCAGAAGCAGATTGTGCAGAGGGCGTTTGCTAAAGATGAGCACGCAATTCGTGAAGGTGCGAACTGGTGTGCAGGGGTGAATTTTGACGAGATTGGGGCTGGCTGTCGCAGCCGGCGTCTGTGGTTGCATGCAGAAGCAGATTTTCATGTCACGGCACGCGTTTTCACATGGGCTTGCGAATTTTCATGGTTGCAAGTTGTGGAGCGCAGTGCTTGAATGAGCGGCTTTGCCTTTGGAGCTGTTTTACCTAGCGAACCCGTTGCAAGGCAGCGGGCAGACTGCGAGGCTTGGGCGAAGACCGCAGGCCCGGTTGGAGATCTCAGGGAGGCCCTTTCACGCTTCGGCCAGCCGTGCGCCGAGCTTCCTCGGGATTGCCATGATACAGTGAAGCGTCCAACCATTGAGCAAATCACAGCTGCTTTTCTTGAACCGACTGCGAGTGCCACCGATGGTCTGGATTGTTCCGCAGGAGGTGACTTTCATCTCTTGCGGCAAGTGCTTTCGCGATCTGGGTTGCCAGAGAACCCGCCGCAGGCTGGTGCTGATACCCTGCAGGTGGCTGCGAGTGGTGCCGAGGAAGCCTCAGAGCGAACTTCAGGGTGCTTTGCAGGCGACTTTTGATGAGGAGTTCCAGTACTATGCTGGTCAGACGGTCCAGGCTGCCACCTTCACTGACAACAACTGTAGTGCAGTAGGGCTTGTGCGGGTAGGTTTTGATTGCTGTGTGTCAAGGGACCAGACCTGAAGACAAGGCCCGCTACAGGGCTAAAAGACAGATCAAGACCCGTTGGGCAACAATGATCCAAACAAGAGGGCCGAAGATCAGAGGCCCCACTCTGAGTAGCGCCGGCTCTTCGGAGCCTCCCTGTCCTTGTGCCTCGCCGTGCGGAAGTCATGGCGACGTGATGCCGGCAGCCTTCGTTTGGGAGGAACTCGCCGATGAGGGCAGTCACGACTGGCAGGTGTGTGATGATGTCGCGCCGAGCTGGCAGCAGGGCTGGAGCAGCGCCCATCCAGGCAGCAGCGGAGCCAAGCAGGTTTCCCCTCCTTCCCCTCTAGGGTTTAGTCCCCCTAAGCTCTTAGGGCAGTGCGATTCTTTTGAGGAATGGGCGTGGGCATCTCACCAACCTGCCATCCGCCGTAGCATTTACCTTGAACCGTGGAGTGTCGCGCATCATGCTGTGCATATCGACCTCGCTTTGGTGCAGCGCGAGCGTTTTCCGTGCGAGTTGGTGCCGCATGAACCTTTCCCATGCTTGGTGCAGCAGGAGCCTTTTCCCTGCAATCAGGTGCAGCACGAGCCTTTCCCGTGCCCAGTGGTGCAGCATGAACCTTATCCATGTCAGGGGCAGCAGGAACCACTTCCTTGCAATCAGGTGCAGTGTGGGCGTTTCCCGCATCATTTGGCGCGGCATGAGCCCGTTCCATGCCAGGTGCAGCAAGAGCCTTTCCCCTGCAATTATGTGCAACATGAGCCTTTTCCGTGCAGATCGATGCGGCATGAGTTCAATGGTCGGGATGGAAACCCTTCCTCCTCACGAATGTACGTTTGCAGCTGGGAAGGGTTCAGGCCTAGATCCGCACCGGAAGCTAGTATGCATCATGATGTGCTCACCCTGAAGGTCACCGCGCAGCATGCCAGGCTTCGAGTGGTGTGCCCAGACCACCGATTTCGTCTCCAAATGGGTTCTGGGTGTGGGCCCAAATCGGCCCAAAACTCGGCTGAGGCAAACCCCGGTTCTCGAGCCGAGAGCGGGGGGTTGCCAGAGAAGGAAAATTCTGTGCAATGTGCCATTGCCAAGTTGCGTCCCAGGTGCACACAACTACTTAGGTTTGGGTGGACCCAGTGCCTCTGGCTGACGAGCCCTGCCGGGGTTTACGATCATGATGCGCATGTTGGCCAGCGCATAGTTGGACCTTGAGCAGTTGTTGTTGCCTCTTCTGAAGCGCTTGATACAGCAGGCCTTGGAGGAGCTGTTGCAGAGCGGAGCCTTGCCGTCGTGAAAAGCCCACCGAGGAGCCACTTGTTGTTAGCAGGGTGCCACTCAGAGCAAGGCCACGGGCCGGGGGGCCCCCAAGCCCTCTACGGGGCAGCCGGGACCCAAGGCCCCTAAGGTTGGGAAGGGCAAAGGGGCCGTTGCTGAGCCCAACCAGGGTCCGGCCTGGACCGTGGTGTCGCGTCGGCATAGAGACAGTGAGGAGGCCTTTCAGCTTCGGGCGCAGGATTGGGATGTCCTTTTCCGGGCTTGGAGCGACCATAGAGGCGACACAGGCGGGTCGCACTTTGACTGGAGTGCTCCTTCTACCAAAGAGGATGGAGCCACGGCCCTTCGCATGCTGAAATCGGCTGGCAAGCCTTACTCAGTCTTGTTTGTGCGATTGGAAAAGGGCCCGCAGAGTCAGCGAATCCCCGGCCCTTTGGGACACCTTTCGTTTCCGTGATGCCATTGTGGAGCAACAGTCCAGTGATGCTCAGCTTGCCCGGCCTGCACCTAAGGACCTAAAGACGGCTCCAAACATCAAGCAGCTGCAAACCTCCTTGATTTATGTACGCATTCCTCAGGCCTTCGCTCCTGAGCAGACGTGGAAGGAATTCAAAGCCGGGGCCGAGCGGGCCTCGATGAGGTGGTCCAGTTCTCAGCATGTTCAGGGGATTGATTCCTTTGGTTGGGTTGAGGAACAGCTGCGAAATGCTCCGGGACGCCAGTTATTTGGTGTAAGGAGAGTGCCAACTGCCGACGTCGGTAGCTTGCTGGGGGTTTCAGGACAACGCGGGATCTTTGTTGAGCCTGCCAAACGCGATATCCACCGTTTTCGCAGTGAGTGGATTCCCGCCCTACGAGGCGCGCCCGCTTTGGGCTTTCGGTGTATGGCCAGCGCATTGCTTGGAGACACCCTCTGATCGACGGGGAGGTGCTGCCCCGTGTGTGGACACTCGATGGTCTGCCGGACACCATCAATGCTCAGGACATGCTGCCGGCTCTTGAGCAAGGTTTCAAGGAGATTGCGTTGATGTCCCACCGGCGCACAAAAGGCTCTCTGTCGCTGCGCTTTCGGGCGATTTGCCTTGCGGGAGACAAAGACCTAGTGCCGTTGCGAATCAAAATAGACGACAGTGATCCCATTTGTTTGTGGGCCACTCTTGCCCCGGCTCGACCAGTTGAAGCGCGGCAAAAACCTTTGGGCAAGAAAGCGGTCCCGTTTGTTAGCGCCAGTAAGAAAACCAGCCTTGACGCTAAGCCCAGCGCAGCCGCTCCCACCGAGCCCGACGAGGTTGACGACAATGGGAAGCCCATACCCAATGCCAAACGAGCTCGCGGGGCCACCCGTCAAATCCCGTTGGGGTTGGAAAGGGAATCCTGTCTCACTGACGGCAATTGTGCCTTTGCCTCTGTTGCTGCAGAATTGAATTGGATCCAGAATAAGTCGGGGAATGATGCTTTCAATCATCTTGAGCTAAGGGCTCGGGTCACCTCGCACATTTCCAAATATAGTGATCAGTATCAAGCTGAATGGGACAAGGTTTTACCAGATGGTACTAAAGACAAGTCATGGCAGGATTATAAGGATGCAGCGGCCCAAGCAAGGATTATCCCGAGGAATTCTGGCAGGTCACAGATGGCCCGGTCCGTGGAATTCGGGCGGGGGGCAAAGCAGTCTCGTCTCGTGCATCGTGCGTGGGCTCCGGTCGCACGGTTTTCACTTGTGATCGGGCGTCCAAGGCCTGTACCGTTTGGACGCGAGCCCCCAGTGCCAATCCTAATCCTGTGAAGGTGCCTCAGGCGGTTGCGGGTGTTGTGAGCGCACGGACCTCCACCAAAGCCCGCGCTTCTGGAAGCATGGCCACCGTGTTTACTCGTGCTGCCCCTTGCCCTGGTGGGATGTCTTTGGCGAAGACACCTAGTGTCGGCAGCCTCGCCGCACGGCGAGTGGTCAAGTCCCACCTCAAGACTAAGGGCTCTCGGGACACTGCCGGGTCCGAGGATCAGGACCTCACTGGTTTCGAGGACGCACTCACTGCTTACCGCCGCTCCGACGTCACGGCCTCTAGCAGCGAACTTCGCACCCTCGACCAGAACGGAGCCAAGGTTGTCAGATCTTCAAGGTGGCTTGAGGGAGACAAGTATTTCGCCGCCTGCGACGAATGTCCCTTCCGTGTACAGTGCAAGAATGCCGCGCACGCCGCTGTCCGGCATTACGCGCGTTATCGACAGTGTCACCCTGGCACTCAGCGACCCCTTCTGCCGAAGACTAAGGTGCAAGTGGTTGAAGTTTCACGACGAGTTCCTTTGCAGTGGAAGTGCCCTCTTTGTGCAGCTGCTTGTATTCCCAAGAAACTCAAGGCGACCAAAGACGCCGCTATCCGAGCTATTGCGGCCCACAGGCACAGCGTGCATGCGGATGTGAGCATGGGCATGTGGCGTAAAGCCAAGAAGGATGCGAAACGCGCTCGGCTGGACAACGCCGCCAACCGCGTTGTGCAGTTGAACCGCACCACGGCGAAGCACATCCAGAAGATCCAGGGCAAGGCGGAAGTGGCCATGTTTAGGCGTCCGGTTCTTGTGAAGAGCCAAACGCCGATGGGCCTGAAACTTCTCACCCACTGGAGATGCACAGCTTCGTCTTGCTATGACATCTACAAGACGTTCAAAGATGTCAAGGAACACAAGTGCCCTACCTTCAACCCACACGGCGACAAGGCACTTCGGTCCCTGAAGAAGGATCGCCGCTCTGCCCTTCGTGAGCATAAGAGCAAGAATCCTTTCTTTGCTGGCATCGATGCAAGTGTGCTGCGTGACGTCTACGACGGCGCCATCAAGGAAGTGGGTATGGCCTCATGTTCATCCGCGTGAGCACCATAAACGTCAACAAGAGCGCGACGGCCAAGATCGCGCTGCTACCGTTGACCACAACGACGTGGTCAGGACTGGAGTTTTATCCTCTTTGTCGGCGTCCCCTGTCCAGCTGGCGACAGACTTAGACGCCGCTCGCTTTGTGAGATCACTCTGGTGGAGATCCCAAGTGACAAGGGCTACCTCAAGTTCCTGGCGGTGGGTTTCTATGGATACGCGACGGACTTGACCGCGACAAAGGATTTGGTCCAGGCCCTCATTCGTGAACTCGCGAGTTTTGCTCTTCCGTGGCTCATAATCGGAGACTTCAATGCCGAACGTGTTGATTGTTGGCCCGCTTTTGCCCAGGGGCTGGCAAGGGACTTGGACGCTGATTTCGAGCAGTCTGTGGCATTGCCCGCGACCTGTACCGGTCGCCGACGAATTGATTGGGCGATGGCGAATAGACTGTGGGCCTCAAGCGTGAAACACCGCCTTGGCGTGGCAAATCACCTCCTTGTCGAGTACTCCTTTGACCTGAGCGACAACACCGAGGAGAAGATTCTGCAGCAGGGCAACGTCTTGGATGTCACCGAGGCCGAGCTGATCAATGACTACCTCTCTGACGTGGCAGAGAGCTGCCTTGCCTCGAACTTTGAGCGAGGCCTCAGGCGAAGCAGCACGAAACTCCAAGGGCGCAAGAAGGACCTGGGCCACAAAGCTGTGCGGGAACCCGAGTCTGTGCTTCTCCGTAGCCTCTTCAAGTGTTTGCCGAGGCCCGTCACAGGGACAGTACTGAGGCGAAGCGCTTGTGGCAAAAGCTCTGTTGGGACCAGAGGCGTCTCGCCACTGACCTCCCAGCCATCGGCGACTTGGTACTGTCTGGTTCTTGCGCTGTGGCTCGTTTGACGCAGCTGGTGGAAGAGGTTGCGCAGCGTGAGAGTTCTTTGCGGCTGGAGCGCTGGAAACGTAAGGTTGCCACTTCGCTGAAGTTTAGGACTGCCTGGGTGAGACAGAAGGTGGCCTCACACAAGGAGGCTGTCCCTCGGCCGCTACAGAGCCTCTCAGAGCGCAGTTGCGACCCGCGCCGTCGCTCTCCACCCGCACCAGTTCCTGGAGCAGGCCGTCGACGAGTGGAGCGACCGCTGGCAGGCTAGAGACGTGGACCCTGTTCGCTTCCAGTACTACCTTGACAAGGTCACCAGACCGCCGGCCGCCTCAATTGACGAGAGCTTCACCGCAGAGGAACTCTGTCGCCGGGCTTGGACAGTTGGACCGCAGATGAGCTGCTTCGCTTGCCGCTGGCCTGGTGGAGGGGCTTGGCGCTACTGTGGACTGCAATACTTCGCGATGGAGCTGTTCCTGCTTCTTGGAAGTGCTGCAAAGTGGCGCTTTTGGACAAAACTGCCCCGGGTGAGCATCGACCCATTGCTTTGGCTCCGGTCGTGTGGCGCCTTGCGATGAAAATAGTCGTGCAAAGACTTCGTCCATGGATGAGCTCTTGGCTATGCCACTTCACCTTCGGCGGTGTCTTCGGGTCGAGTGTGATAGACAGCCACGCTCTCCTGGACTACGAGAACGTCGAGGACGCGGTGCTGGTGTCTCAAGACCTGACAAAGTTCTTTGACAGCGTAGACTTGCAGTTGCTGCAGCAGGCCCTTGTGCACTACCGTGCACCTCCTTCTTTCATCTCGGTGATCCTAGCGTTTTACCGCGATGCATCCAGAGTGCTCGTTCACAAGGGCCACTGTCAGGAAGACGAGATCTCGGTGACAAGAGAACTTCAAGAGGAGTGTTGCAAGGGTGTCCCGCTTCACCCATGCTGAGTGCTCTTTTCATGAACACGTGGGGCTACGCGGTCAAACCTCACGCACGGGCCTCTACCTTTGTAGATGACAGGCTTCTTTTTGGCAGTGCTCAAGCCTTGCCGGCACTGACACAAGCTGTGAGGACTAGTCGCGACTTTGACCGCTGTGTCCAGTTCACGTGCAAGCCCACCAAGTGCTTGGTTGCCGCCGCGGCCGTTGGCCAGGAAGATGAGTCTCACTTTTCGCCCGATGTCGTCGCTTTTGCAGCGGAGGTCGGTTACGAGTTGAAGCATCGTTTCAAAGTTCTCGGACTGTGGCATGTCGCGGGCCAGCGAGGCCAGATCACCATCGACCCCGACCTTGCCGCCGACATCAAGCTTTTGGCCAAGTGCATCGGCATGCTGCCCGGTCCTGGCTCATTGAGGGCGACTTTGATCAGGCAGATGCTCATCCCAAAGATCGCTTGGTGCGCAGGCGTGGTGTCCTACGACCTCAAGGCACTACGCAGTCTCCGCTACGACGTGGTTCCACGCTCTCGTTGACACGCCCAACGTACTTGTTTTGCAGTTGCTGGGTTGGAGCAACGAGCCTGTGGGTTCTGCAGTGCTTGCCACGCTGAGAGCTTGTGTTCGCTGGCAGTTTCGCCGGCCTCGATGGCTCGAAGACATTAGCATAGGCTTTGCTTTGAGACCCGCTGCTGAGATCCTCCCTGGTGTGCAGGCTGTGCTGCGGGACCTAGGCTGGTGGCTTGGACCTCGAGGCACGTCTTTCCGTCGGCGAGACGGACACGGGCAGGAACGCTCTTTCGTGCTCGGCGAGGACAGCTTTCGCTTGCTGAAGCAGTGGGTTGAGTTTGAATTGGCCAGTTCGGCTCTGCAGGCGTGTGGGCGTGTGGTCAAGACATACCATCGACCTGAGGACGACAGATTGGCTCAAAGGTTGTCTCTGCCACGGCCCCCTGCGCATCACGTTGTGTTGGCTCAGGGTCACAAAAAGTTCTTTGCTCAAGGTGCTGATAAGCGGGCCTTCCAGACGGCTCTTGCCACAGGCTGCTCTGCGTGGTCCCACTTCCCCAAAGCGAACCTGAGCATTGATGATGCCAGGGCAACATGCATGTGCGGTAAAAAGCTTCCTTCGAGACCTCACTTGGGTTGGAATTGTGATGCTGTTCGTCATTTGCGGCCCGGGCTCCTTCCACTTGATCGAGCGCAGGAGAGACTTTTTGCGGTGACTACGCCGGAAGCTCCGCCGCCGCCAGCAGTTGCACCAATGGGTGACTACATCAACGCGCTCCAGGAGATGATCCAGGCCGCGGTGCAGCAGTCCAGTCACGTGCTCCTCGCCACGGACGGCAGTGAGAAGCACCAGCTGTCGAGCTTTGCGGTTGTTGCAGAGAATGTCGTGCGGACCGTTGCTGGGGGAGTGCCGGGTGAAGATCAAACTGCTTTTAAGGCTGAGGTCGTCGCTTTGGTGCTCTTCCTTGAGGCGCTACATGGCATGCCCCACCCGAGGACTCCTACGACGTGTACGGTTGCTGTGGATTGTCAGGCCGCTTTGTCCCTCCTTCATGGCCGGGCTTGCAGAGACGTGTGCAGGATCTTCGCGCTTCTCTTCATGTGCACTGGCTGCTTGTGTTCGTATGGGTTCCTTCCCATGACAAGGTCAGTGATCGCTTTGTGGCCCCGCCTCCGTTCAGCGAGGCGCAGTTGCGGAAAGTCAACAAACGTGCTGATGAAGCTGCTAAGCGCATTGTGAATCGTCGGTGTGCCGGCTCGACGCGGCCAGCATGGATCGCCAGCCTGGAGGCTGCGAAGAGGTGGGAACTGCAGGCGCTCGCTGGCGCTTCGCAGATCGCCGAAGCCTATGCCCATCACGCGCAGGGGCTTCGTTGATGACGGAGTGATTTTGGGCGTTGAGGGCACCTTCGGTGGCACCCTGGCGTCGACGAAAAACATTCAAAGATCCTCAACAGCAAAACTGCATCAGCGAACACTTGGAACTGTATCAATCCCGCAAATAAAACTGCATCAGAGGATACCTAGAGTTTCCTAAAGAGTATCCACCACGGACGGACACAGGGCGACGGGGGAAGAAAGAACCAGAGAGCTGGAAAGTGTTGGAGCCTTCACGAATAGTCGTGCTTTTGGTAGTGCAGTTCGTGTTGCTTTGCACCAGTACCGGCTCATGAAGCCTAGCTGCTCAAATCGACGGAGCACTGGGAGCGAGCAGTACCGCTCCAGCACAATTGTTTCGTGAGCCGGGGACATGAGGGTCACCGCGGCTTGCAGACCGCTCCTCATCTCCGCAAGCAAGTATCACACCGAACTGGCAGACTAGGGCGCAGGATCGTGCGGGTGGGGTGCGTGTGCATCCTTCTCTGGTTGTTTGGAAGAAGAGAGAGAAAGACAGAGCACACACACGATCCGATCATGTGTCTTCAGGCAGGCTCTTCCACAATTACAATTGGCAATATCTCATGCCGGGCAGGCTAAAGCGGATGTGCACTTTGCAGGCTCCGTTCGCAAGTTATTTGGGGACCGGACAATGCAGGGTCTTCTTCCGTGTCAATCTGTTGACTTTGCTGGCTGTTGTTCTGCGGCAAGCCATTAGGGAATGACATTTTGCAATGTCCTGTTTTCTGCCAAGCTATTCCGACACAGGTCATTGGGGAAGTGCAATTTGCTACGACCCTTCTGAGGCGAGGAACTGTGGAGTGTGAATGTACAAGATTCTCACATTAGGGACTGTACTTGTGTTTTGTTGATTGCTGTGAAGCTCATTTGTTCAAATATGTTTCGTTGATGTGCGTTGCGATTGCTGGATTGTGTTCATTGTCATCGTATACCTCAAGATGAAATTGAAATGTTGCTGCTTCTTTGCTGGAGTATTTTTTGTACCCTACAGCACCCTGGTAGATGCTATTTACACATCTTGTCATATCCACCTATACGTAGCTTTCTCAAATTTCCCGGAAGAGTGGAGCGAGTTGCAAAGACCAAGAAGCCATACCGCAATATGCAGAACATGACAACACTCATTAGTCGCCGTATGTGTGCATTGTGATCTCGAATGGTATCGATGTAGTATGTCAGGGTGGCTGCGCTCCAGGTATGGCAGTGTAGGTTTAGGGTTTCGCACGTACAGTCTATGATTGACGTGACCATGATGCCAACAAGCCCTTAGTTGTTCTGGCATACGCTGCAAACCAGTAATTAACCCGATAAACCTCACAATCAGGAAGCAAAAGCGGGGAAACCACTAAGCCATCGAGCCATTAAACCAATCGTTCTGGTCTATAGGATGGTTCGCCGGGCGAATGGGCTGGTTTAATAGTTGTTTGGTTTAGGGGTACACCCATTTCCACAGGCGTATGAGCACTGGTTTGATGGAATGTTGGCTTGTTGGTACGCCGACGTTAGGGGCGTGCAGAGGATTGGTTTAACGGTTTAGGATTTGGCTTCTTGAGCAAGACGGATGGTTTAATGGCTTAATGTCTTATTAGTTGGTCAATGTTCGTAGCGCCAAAACGATCGATTGAACGGGTTCATGGTTTCGTGAGTTTCGCGGTTGGTTTAATTTTCATAGTTTTTCGGTTTACTGCACAGGTGGTCACCTGCAAAAGTATCAACGTGCTTGTAGCTTGCTAAGAGGTGAAAAACGGGTTATGTTCTATTGTCAAAGTTGAAGGATGCTAGGAAAATAGAGTGGCTTCTTGCTGCGCGTACACGACAATGTTACACCTACAGTAAGGAGTTAGCTCAACATACTGCGCCTGTTTGCTGAAGCATGACGGGACATCAGCGTGCTCTGACATCTTCCACAGAGTAGGCACACCTACATGAAAGGGTAATTTTCAATGAGAGAGGAGGTATGTTTTTTCATGAAGAGAATAACAATGAGTTGGCTTTTGCATTCGGTTTTTTTTTACGGGGTTCTCTTGTCTCTTCGAGCTATCTGTACATGCCCACAAAGGAGCAAAAACGGTAGATGTAAGAATCTGGCGAAGTGGAGGAAACCACGGCAGCTGCCGATGTTTGCTCATACCTGCAAGGAAGCGATCAGAGACAGTCGTGAATCCGGGGTTGGGTGGTGGGTGATTATGGCGATCACATGTACTGATATATACATATATATATATAGAGAGAGAGAGAGAGAGAGAGAGAGAGAGAGAGAGAGAGTGCTAACCTTTTCGGCAGAATCTGGGAAAATCGGGCAACCATGGGTCCGGAATAGAGAAAAGTTTTTTCAAGCAAATGCGGGGGCAATTTTCAGACACTATCACCGCAATTTTCAGGAACACCTACGGCAAAAGGTAGGGGGGGGGTGGGGGAGGTGACTGCGAACGTGTGTGCATTTACATGGCCTGTTAAAATGCATAGCGATATCTCTCTTCGTTTCTGTGTCATTAAATGATATTTACCTTTGCTGAAGGCAATCGTTAGGGTTTAGGGTTTGGGGATTAGGGTTTTAGGGTTTAGGGTTTAAGGGTTTAGGGTTCGGGAACGGGAGAGGGGGGGAGGGGTCTACGAACGTATGTGCATGTATATGGTGTGTTAACATGCATAGCGATATCTCTCCTCGTTCCTGTGTCACTGGATGATATTTGCTTTTGCTGAAGGCAAAGGTTAGGGTTCGGGGTTTAGGGTTTGGGGATTAGGGTTTTAGGGTATAGGGTTCAGGGTTTCCGAATGTGCCTTCGTCTATGCCCGATGTTCTCGGACCTGTCTGAAAAGATATGTCTCTATTCGCGGCTTTACTTCTGCATCTTCATGAAAATCCCAACGCCTATGCTGAACATACATCCGTGAATATCCCAGCACCCTACCTATACATATATTAATATACATCTCTCTCCCTGGCTCTCTCTATTTTAGATTTGCATTTGTTTGTTTGCTGTTGCATCATTGTGTGAGGCCAGTGTCATGCTGTCATGTTACATGGTGTTATTTCCACGTTACAGTCTTGTGATATGCTTGGTACATATGCATACACATTTTGTGCGCCAGTGAGCCTGACGGCGATGATGAGTCTGTGATGTTTGGTCCTCTTCAATTGCCCTCTCTGTTCATTTTCGGGGCGTTCAAGGTTTTCGCACTTCGCTACTCCGGCTGCTCCAAAGCAGGAAAGAACCCCAAGCACGCCCTCGCCGAAAGCCGACCGGGATGACCTAGTCCTTTTGTGCTGTAAGCATTGTGAAGGTAAAATTTTTCATGTGCGAGGCCGCCTAGCAGCTTATGGCTCCTTTTCGTTTGATTTTTTTGCTTCTTATACAGCCGTCTCCCCAGAAAAGGTCTCCGAAGCACACTTTTCCACAAGTTTCCGCAAATTTGCTGGCTTCACTAGGTGTTCCACATTCTTTCCGCATCCCGTGGCACACATAAGTTGAATTTCTGCATCGTCAACCTGTGCGAATACGCTTTCATTGCAGTTTTGTTTGCGATTTCTTTCAATGACAACTTGCAGCAACATGTAACCATGTCGGCGGGAGGCGTCCTCAGCATTTACATGTTGTACAGTAGCTTGATCACAAATACATGGTGTGGACGATTCCCAGATTCAACAGAAGCCTAAGACTGAAGTCTTCCTAGCCTAGAGAGTTTAGTTTGTCAGCCACGGTCTGCTTTTACTCCGGTTTCGCTTTTGCCATCCACCAACGCCATCTATCCCCCTCCAGGGTTTAGAGTGCTTTCCATTGTCAGTTTGAGGTTTAAGGTTTGTATATTCAAGTCCAAGGCATGCCCAACCCCTCTTTGCCCGCCCAGACCCCTCGGCGTTCGGCCTTTCGCATGAGGAGTCGCCATCCACGCCATCCGATCTCTTTTGGGGTTTAAGGTTTCTCATTTTGGCTTTGCGGTTTGCCCTTTGGCCTTGGGTTCGCCATCCTTCCTTTCTCTGTTGGGTTTCACGCTTCCGTCCAACAAGACAGAAGGTTTGCCATCTGCCAGTTTGCCATCCATCATGTAGGGTATCCATCCCATCTCCTTTTAGGGTTTAGGGTTTGCCACCCATCCTCCGCGTCTAGAGGCTAGGAGTTTAGGGTTCGCCCATTCACATGAGGAGTCGCCATCCACCTTTTCTCTGCAGGGTTTACGGCGTGCAGCCTATCTGTTCGGGGTTTGGGATTCTCCGTCCAGCATTGCTTCAGAGATTTACAAGAAGGTTTGCCATCTGCCATCTGTTTTCGGGGTTTAGGGAAAGTTTAAGGTTTACCATCCAAGGTTCAAGGTTTCCTCCATCATGTCAGGTAGCCGGCATCCCATCTCTTATCAAGGTTTGCCAGTGACCAATTCGGCATCCAGTATGGCCTTTTCTTGGTTGTACCCTTTGCCACCCAGCACTTTGGATTTAGGGATTTCGCATGTGCCATTCAGCATTTGCTTTCAAGATCATGGGTTTGCCTTTGCCAGTGGCGATGGCAGAAGGATTCTGCTCCGGCTCCCGCTTTGCCGGTTGTGTCGGAGTGTTCTCCAGCTTGTTGTCCCTATGATTCTTCGTCAGTTCTTGACATGGACGCAGATATCGAGCAGCGTTGCTGCACGCGCAGTTGAGGGAGGACGAGTTTGTATACATGTCTGGAGCATCCTCTAGCTTTCTGTCACCGGACCTGGTCGAATGTGTTTTCCTGCTTGCTTGCGGGGTGTCTTATCTGTCGTTTCTCGTTATCTTTCAGCAGTTAATGGCTCATCTCTTTTCCCGATGCGCCCGCATCTGAGACTTCTCCGAAGCGTGCTCAGTTGGGACTATTTCGTAAGCCCCGGTCCAAATTCCAAGCCAGCTAGTTTGTGAGCCGGGTTTCACTTTCTCAACATAGCTTCTGTCTACTTCTTCCGTCTTTATCTTCCCTCTCTCCTTTCCTTTTCTGTCTACTCTCTTCCCGCTCTCTCGTCTTGATCTGCTTCCTGCTCTTTCTTGATCTTTACTCCCTCTCCATATTCGTTATTCGTTATCTTTTTCCTTCTCTCTCTTGCTTTTCTTCTCTCTTCTCCTGTTTGTACTTTTTGCTCTTCCTTCTGTCTTCCTTCTCTTGCTTCTCTTCTCTCCTCGATCCCTCTCTCCTTTCTACATAGCTCTTGCTTGTTTCTCACCCTCTCCCCTCCTTCTCCTTCTCCTTCTGCCTCTCCCTCCCTCTCCCTGTCTCGTGCGCTCTCGGGATCTTTCTCTCGCTCTCTCTCTGTCTCTCTCTCTCTCTCTCTCTCTCTCTTTCTCTCTCTCTCTCTCTCTCTCTCTCTCTGGCTTGCTCTCTCTCTGTCTCTCTCTTTTGATGGTCTGCCCAAGGACAGGTCCGAGTGTTTGCAGTTTACCGGTATCATACCCGACTTGCCCAATAGGGTTGGGTTTGGGGTTTGCCAACCAGCAACTCCTTCGAGGCTTATGCGGAGTTGCCGTCCGTTATCTTCCTGTCGGGCTTCAGAGTTCAGTGGCAACTTATCGCAAGTGTATTTTTGCATAATGCTGACACATGTTCTACACGTTCTAAGCGGCATGTAAGCAACTGGCAGTTTCTCCAGCGCTTGTTTACGTGCTGCATGGAACTTACAAGCTTGTAGGGAAATTGCTCCGGATTCGCACAGACCAGCGAGGGCAGGAGTAGAAACATCAGTGTGGCGGGTAAAGGTTGCAGCTCGCTGTGTCTTCTGCAATCGGTCGATGTCGAAAAGAATGAGGGGGTGGTCGGGGGGGGTGCTAGCTTGTTGTGCTTTTCCATGCTGTCCTGATACAGCGTGTGGCTTTCCAGAGGTCGCACCTTCAAAAGACCGTACGATGCCTTTCCGGCCCATGAAAGACCAACGAAGGGCAAAGGCCGAGGCACGGAGTGCCACACGAAGGAAAGCTTGATGTCCTCTGTGAGAATGGGAGGTTTGCAGGCCGCGTCAAGGCATGGCGCTGTGTGTGCTGTTATTTGTGGATGTGTGCAGTTCGAAATCTGCTTTCAATCTCGATCTTGATCTGAAAGCTGCAGAAACGACACTCAAGCTTTCAAGCGTTTCGTACAGGGAAGTCGTCAACCAAAATCTAGCACTTCCATATAGGTCTCCTGCATCTGCGTGCGACACGAGGATAGGCATCCGACATCCTCACTGCTGTAGCGTTCTTTGTTCTTGCAAGTACACCTTTGCAGATTTCCACAGCAGACGGCGTCGGATTCGTGCTTCGTTCCGTCACATAGCTTGCGCTCCGACGCAGGAGCATCCGCACAGGCCAGCTACATTTCAAGAAAGCAGCTCGTGAACCACAGCTGTAGCCCTAAGAAGCACATACCCGAACTGACATGGCAGCCCCGCCGGTTCTGGCAATTGATGCTTTCTGCACGCATGCGGCCGATGCAAAGGCGAAGGCCCGTGGATGTCGAAGCTTGGTGCCTTTCATGATGCATTGGAGCTGAAATCGTCTTTGTAGCGACTCTGGCGCACTGTGTGGAACACTGCCCGCTTCAGAAGGCGCCTCTGCGACATGTCCTGATTCGTGACCTTGCGAAGGCGGGCCTTCAACCGCACAAATCCAGAAAACAATGGGACTTTGCACAAATTTGACAAAGACAGAGCCCTTTAGCTGAGCATGGTTCACAGGTGGCCGCCGCGATGAAGCAACCGCTGGCAACAAAGGACTTTGCCTCCTTGCCTTCTATGCCGACACTCGATAAGTCCTTCAGCTATCGTAGTGTCTTCTGAGCTGGCACGGCCCTTTCTAGGGCGCCAAGCTTGGGATGCTTGGCAGGGTTAGGATCGCATTGCGCAGCACTGTTGCCACAGGTTAAAAATGCTAGGCTTTGCTCCGCCCCTCCGCCCCTCTGCTCGCTGAAAGAAGTCTGCAAAAAGCATTGCCAGGAGGCATCAGCTTTGCTTCAGGCAGGGGCCAGGGAGCATCGTCGTACAGGATTGTCATGCACGATGACGAAGACCTTGAGTTGCTCGGATTACAACGACACCTCCAGAGCGTGCAGCAGATGGCAAGTTTGCTGATCTGGCAAGGCTTTCGACGGAGAGCCAGGTGCTGCCGAGCTCTGCGCAAAGCAAATGCACTTGAAGCTTCTGAGGCCAGAGTTTCTGTGACTCTCTGGTCATACGCTTCAAGGTCCACGCTCGAGGGCGGGCGGGCGGGCGGGACGAATTTCAACAATGCGAGCTTTGCCGGCAAAGGCTCTGGGCTTCCAGCCGCCCAGCCATGCCCACAACTCTCGGATTTGCATCGTGCTTGCTTGCACACACTACACATGCTCACGATTCCAAACCGCAATTGTGTTGCCACTTAAGGTAAAGAGCTATTGAATTCATCACCGGCTTTCATCTGCCTTTTCTTCACAAGGGAAGTCTTGTCAGACATGAAGAGTTGGAGCTTCATGCTATTCCTGGACTCAGCAGGCGTCTGGCCAAAGCATCCAGCACCGCAGAGATTTCCAAAGCTTTGCAAGGCGCTGTTCTTGACCTGGTCCGGTGCCCAGAACATGGTAGATGCTTGTTGCTCCTTGTGTCGCTCTCTACCTGCGCGTCTTTTCAAAGCATCGTGTAGTTCACAGGATGCAGATCTCCGACAACAGCGTCCTGGAGTACCGGGCTGCAGTGGCAACTTAGCTGCCTGCGAAGTACACATCACGCGGGCCGGTGCTGCTCTTGGCCGAGGTGTCATTGCGCTTTTTGTGTGCGTCCCAGCTGCAGTTTCCGAGCATGCAGGGGGCTGACAGGTTCCGAAGGTGAGAACCGTTCGTTTTCTTGAAATCGGTCATCTGTGTTTACGAACACTCGCATTTGGTTGCTCTGGATTCATTTAGTGTTGATCTGGGGCTGTTTTTGCTCAACAGGTGTGCTGTAGTTGTTTGCATTCGTAGTGATGAGTCTTGCAAGTTGGAAAGCCGGACGCATCGTGTTTGATGGTTAGAAGGAGGGCAGGGGAGGGAAGGACTTGGGACCATGGTTTGTTTGGAGCCACACGTGGATGACGTGCCAGTCTGAAAACGCAAGCACCCCTCTTATGCCTGAAGAAGCATTACATCGTTCACCACGGCCACTGCGAGACCTGAGACTGCGAGACCTGAGACTGAAAGATTTGAAAGCAAGCAGCGTCCCATTGGGAGTTGCTTACCCCTGCATTTGAGCTGAACCTTTATGCGCTGATTGCGCGCAACTTGTGCGTAGCTTTGCATGGGCAGGGACTCATACATCGCGTCAGCATCGTGCTACACCTCCTGCGGGAGTGACTCCGATCACAGAGCACCACGTAAAGGAGTGCATCGGCCTCGGTGTGCGTGGCAGCCTGGCGTTGGAGAACCACACCGCTATCCTGCACAAGAAGGTCCTCACCGACACATGGTTGAGCTGTGGCACAACTGGAGAAAAGCACGCGAAGAATTTAAGGACGGTCCATGCATTTTGCAACAGTGTATCCTTTGATGCGAACGAACGGATGCGACAGAACGAAAGACATGTAACGGGTTCAGGCCTCCATCCGTCACTCGTCCACGAGTACGATCGAAAAAGTCGCAGACATGATGTCTCGCTGCCCATGAGTAGGTGGATATCACTAAGCTCCTTCCGAAGCAGACCGGGCCCGCGCATGCAGACTCTCGAAACTGTTGAATACTGGCAACTCAACAAGACGCAAGTTGAAGAAGAAACCCAGGCATCACAGGTTGAGTTCACAGACTTCGTGCACATGGGCAAGAACTTGTGAGCAGCACAAGCCGTTGACATATAACTCAAAGAAAGCAGCTTAGGGAGGACTAAGCTTGTCTTTCATTCGCCTGCCGATGGTGTAGTGGTAGCTATACTGAACGCTGTAGAAGCAGCCCTACTTCGCTGTTGTCACGAGCGACTGTCAAGGTTGGCTGCTGCCTGTATGTGGTGGTGGCTGGCAGCTGCGTAGGTCGATCGTCCATGTGGGTGGAAGACATGCTATTGACCTTGCACTCCAGCACAGCTATTGCATGCAGGTGGTCCGAAAAATGCGAATGCAAGACCTAGCATTGAGAGCCTTGTGCTTGTGATGTTGAATGATATTGAACGCACCGAAGCATCCCTTTGCCAACGCGGAGTTGAAACTGGCAGGCAACATCTGGGGAAAGGGTCTCAGTGAGCTGGCGTTTGCCCCGGCTGCCAGCGAGATTGGGAAGGACGAGAGGGTTGTCGAGCTCGGCTAGCGGCTAGAGCATGCAACCTGGCGCTCCAAGCGTGAGGACGGCGTGCTGCGGAAATCCAGCAAGGAGAGCCCCGAACAGAAGCGAGCCAAGGCGAACATGGGCCGCAGTAGCCTGTGCCACTGTTAGCTGCCGCATGCTCTGTAAGACACCTTGTGCCAGGCTTTGCTTCGGTTGAAGGCCGCTCAGCACGAGCAAGAGCAGTCCGATAGGAAAATTGGTTTCCCTTTCCTTTCGCTTCGCCGAGGTAAATGTCAGACTCGTAGGGTTTCCAATTGCTCACGACGATGGTCTGCAGATAATGTTGGAGGCATGCGACGGCCACCGAAAATCTTTCTATAAGCCCTACCCCTCACAGACTGCTGGGCTGCTGTACTCTGCCTTCCTGTCGCTGGCCTGTTTCACTCTTCGTGCCAGTACTGGATTTCAAACATGAGCAGAGGCCTTATCGGGAGCATCCAAAATGCGGCCCGAGGATTCAAAGGGCTGCACCGACTCTGAATCTGTTGCGGCTCTTTCTCCTCCCACTCAGTGCTTGGCCTGGATTTGATGGCCAATCTTGATTTGTGATCTCCGTGAGCTTATTGGTCTCACGGATGCTGCCCCGACGGGCTGTTAAACGCGACACGTCTCTCGTTTGTGGGATCTTTCGTGGTCGAGTCCCGAGATCTCGATGCATTGGTGTAGCTTCGCAACTCCACGACGATCCTTCGAACGCGATCGGACGCCGCTTGTCGCTCCACGGTTATCTCGTGGAGTGCAGAATTCCGGCGTCTGCACGCCGCTGTCGGCCACCGAGCGCGGGGTCAGAGTTGCAACTGAAGTGGGAGACAAGGTGAGGCGTCCCGGCTCCAGAGTGATGAACATGTAGCCTGGTGAGATGCCCGGGCAGACGTCTGGTAGGCCCGGAATCCCCATCAGCTGATCGGCGGCTCGGTGAAGCTCTGAGATGCCCGAGCACGCTTCATGTGCACGATGGTTCACCACCTGCGGTGAGGCCTCGCTTCCGGGAGGTCGTCGTCCGGGCTCCGAGGTCCAATCCTTTAGCGGCTTTAGCCAACAGCTCGTCGCCACACCCCCTGTTGCAACACACCACCAGTAGTACTTAGTACTTGCACCTGCCTCTTTTTTTGGAGTGCTTTCCTTCTGGTGTCCAGGGAAGTCTTCGCATCGATTCAAATAAAGCAGTCGAGACAATTTATCCTAGGGGAACCGCATTTTGCAGCTTCGGTTCTTCCACTCGTATCGCCACTGTGAGACAGGCAGTGGCAGCTCGTGGTGCCGCAGCAGTTAGGTGGCGCCGTCTGTGGTGAACCGCCTTTTGTCTTCTGGATGCTGTGCTGCGCTCTGCCCTTTCCCTGTGCGGCCAGGGCTTCAGCTGCCGCAGCCATGGGCAAAGGCACAGTGATCCGAACTGCTGATGGCTGTTTTTCGGTCCGCACGACTTGATGCTTTGATGCACTCATTGGCAACATGATCATGGTGCATGGCACAAGCCACGAAGTAGCCAACCGCCCAAAGACGCCTCGACGACAGCTTGAGCATGCTCTGTTTTGTCGAGGCGCGGCTGCCCTCAGCGCTGAGGCCAACCGGCCTGCCTTCTCTCACCGTTCTCGGTAGACTTCCGACCTCTCCTTATGTCTGTGGTAGCACTGTTACCCGGTTGTCCAGCAGTCTCATTAGTCTTATTGATTTTGGCTGGAGTCGCATGTCGTCGGTAGCTCTGACAGAGCATCGCCGCTCGCGTTTGTTTTTACAACCGATGCTGGCGCATCCCGTGGGTATTCACCATGCACACCCTTGCGATCCATGTTGCCAGGACTTACTCACAGAGGCTGGCTTGTTCGAGATGCCGCTTCCGTGGGGTATCGTGGGAGAACAGCTAGGCCAGGCCTCACAAAGTTTTTGTGGAGCTGCAGGTCGTCGATCTCCGTGCTGGTGTTGCCCCAAGTGTTACAGCGAATTCAGTCGTGCCATTTTGCGTAGCCGGGTCGCAGTAGAGCTACGCCACTAGGGCCCGCATTGCGAGGTGATCACGCGTCGATCTTGCTCGGCAGCTCGGGGCTTGCGAACTCAGGGCTTACCCCTCAGGACGCAGCACGCCACACGGGCTTCGCCGGCAGGGGATTGGGACTCGCCAGACTTTGGCGCAGGACATTGGAACACTGGCTGAGGCAGGCGTCACAGCTTCGAGCTTTGAGAGGGTCACGTTTCCTTCTAGGAAAAAGCGAATGGGTGCATGTTGCCACAGAACTGTTTGGACATCATGACGGCGAACTCTGACAACGGAGTGGGTTGAGCTTTTGCAAGGCTTGTGAGGATGCCACAAAAGCAAGCATGACGATTGCCGAGTTGCCTGGCAGCAATATTGGTTTGCCTCGATTCACCAGCCCCCCCTACCCCCACCACCGCCCACCCCCCAATAAAAGGGCCAACAAAGCATTTCCTCCTCTGTCGGTAGGTTAATGCTGGTTCGCATCGAGTGCTGACGACAAATTAATTTAAGTCTTTTCGTGACTTGGAGAATCCAGGTTGGCCAAGGAGAGGCTCAAGGAGGCGATGCGGCAATGCGACTGGGTTCTCGGTGCTCCTTTCTCAGGTGTTCTAGATGGACAGGGTGCCTCAGTGCTTCAGGCCGTCAAGGGCGAGGCGAACTGGGTTCAGCAGGACCGCTCTGAGATTGACAGCACCGGCGGATTTCAGTGTTGTTGGGTTGCAAGGTACTTCCGAAAAGTCCCCGAGCAAACTGGCTACCATTATGTAACACAACTGCAGGGACCGCTTCCAGAGCATCGCAGGGACACCCAAACGGAGACACACACACAAACGACCGCAACTTCACAAGGCCCTGTGTTAATTGAACCTTGGTCGGGATATGTAAATATATGCACTCTGTCAACCTTACCTTTTTGTTTGAGTTTTCTAAGGCACCGTTGCTAATGCGCACTCCGCATGACTGCATGTTCACATTATGTACATGCCCTGACTCTGTCAGTCGCAGTATTTACAGACACTGCTTCAGCAGCTGCATTTGAGGGCGTGAGTCAGGCACATGTAGGACCCCAGACGAGCACAGGGCATTTTTGACATATGTTGAACGTTAACCCAAGTGTATCATTTGGTGGATAACAGGGACTGCTCTTACATTCAATGCTTCAGTACACACTGCGATGAGATAACACGAGCTCTAAAAGTCTAACCAACCTGCAACGAGAGAAATGCAGCACACGAACAGCCCTGCACAGGACAAGCACTTTATGGTTTACAGTCCGAGATGGAGGTGTAGCTGCTGGCTCAAATTCTAATCTAGCTAGCAGTGATTCTGTATAGCAGAGATCCTGAAATTCAAACGTGCTTAACCGAACGAATGATGCTGCTCATGATGAATAACGTCGTTGGCGACGCAAAAGCGCTCGCCTTCGAGCGACACGGCTCATGAACTGATTCCGAGCTGAAAATACTCTCCTTGAGGGTGCCTTTGAAGCAGTGCCGTGGGCTTCTTGCTAGAAAGCGCACAGAGCAAGAATGAATCTCTGGCCGAGACCGTGCCACCCGTCCGCCCCCGGCATATCGTCGTGCCATGGCTTACAATGTACCCGCACAAGAGACCCCTGGCTCTTGCACCAGGAGAAGGCCAAGGCCTCCGAGGTGACGTGCTTGGCAGTGAAACTCGACTGGGAGCCCGAAGGCCAGGCGGCCAGGGCCAGGGTCTTGGGACATCTTGGGACTTGGGAAGCAGGCCACCAGGAGTCTCAGCCGAAGCCCGAGCGGACCAGGTGGAGACACTGGCGAACCGGATGTCCCGAACTGAGAACATATGCCACTGCACCTTTGGGCCCTGCAGTCCGATTTGAGGCGAAGAGGCTCCGCTCGTCGCAGGACGCATGACTACGAAAAGGAAGTGCAACAATGCGTGCGTCAAAACACTGCGTGCGCCAGTTTGGACCGAGGTTGCACATCTAGCAAAGTGCGGGACAGGGTGTGTAGGCAGGGATGCAGCATGATGCAGCCGGACACTCGCTTATCTGTTTCAGACGTCAACAGTCGGGGTCACTACCCCGGCCGTCCTTCAGCTAAATTCAATTATATTTATATAAGCATCCAGTCGGGGCGCAGCTTCTTCAACAAGCATGAGCGTAGACCTCGGAGCTTAAGGGCCATGGCACAGGACCGCTTGGAACGGCTTGCAGAGCTGCACTAGATCGGTTTGTCACGCTGTGACAATCCGCACACTGTGAACCTCTTGGTGGCGTGTGTACAGGACTGTGAAGATGGTGTTTCCGGAAAGCATGACTTTCAACTTCCTAGTCGACCGGAGGCTGCTCCCTTTACATGTTGTATGAATCCTGCCAGCACTTTCTGCCAGGCAGATGCAGATCCGTTGGTGAGGTGCGGGCCAAGTCCTCATGAGATGAATAAGCCAACACGCCGCGTAGCTACCGAAACCCGAAGAAGAATGCGATGCTCCGTTTAATTCGGCCCCCTTACGTGTATCGATTTGTTACCGCCTTTGCCCCTGCCTTTCACCCGACGATGCTTTGCTTTGGGGCCTCTCTCTCTGTGTCTCTCTGGACCCGGCCTCGCTCGGCGGACTCGGTGGAATCCAGAACCAGAGCTCAGAAACCTGGCCGAAGAGCCCCTACGAGTGAATTGCCAGTGAGAGTCCCAAATCAAGGGCGCAATTGAGGTTTGTGACTTTTGGCCAACATTCCAGCTAGCCTTTTATGTGTGCAAGGGCGTGGCACTCTAGCGTATCTCTTCACGGTCTCGGAGATCCACGGTACGGACTAAGCACCTACACAGCGGAAAGCGAGAGGTTGCCGATGAGCGACACTGATTTCGCCATGCTTGCAAGCAAGTTGCTAGGCCATGCTAGGGGCCCACAGGCCGAAAGTTGTACAGGGACAGGAGCATCTTGACTTGAGCTCATGCAGCTTCCTTACAAACTCCTGCGACTCAGCTCACATGCACTTTCTGCTCCACTTCGGAGACTTGTCTCGGACAGGAGCATCGACAGCATCATCCAGCGGCGCCAGGAGGAGCTTTTCGTTCGCCGAAGCCTCAAGTTTCTGCAATGAATTGAAATTGAGTTGATCTCTATCAGCTGCTATTTGAAGCTCAGGTCTCTGTGACACGCTTGAGGGACGCTCAACAAATCGCCACAGCTCCATGCAAGCCCTTTGTATGAAGATTGCATGCCATCCGAGAGTCAGAGGAGTGGCAGACATCATCAAAGGCACTCAACGAGTTCGCTTTGCCCGGAGAGTCGCCACCGTTGCGCCGCCTTTCACGGTTTTCCTACGTGACTTTGACCCGTTTTTCCGGCACTGTCGAGCGAGCAATGGCCTCTGACACAGTTCCCCGTCCCAGGCTTCTCCGACTGCATCTGCCAGAACGACTTCGAAAGAATGGGAGCAACTTGACCTGTGAAAGACATTCAGTGGAAGGTTCGACCATTTTCAGTAGAAGCACGCGTCACGACTCGTGCGCCAGTGCTTTCGGAGGTGGTGTAGTTGACCGGTACTTTCCGCATCTCTTCTGAGTGGCTCAGGCATCCTGCCAGCGCCTCCTCACTGCGCAGCGACGAGGGGCCAAGGCGGTGGAAGACCCGACCGGCACTGGTGGGACTGATGCGATCCGTTGTCCCTAGGCCAAGCAGACGGGCCAAGGTGGCGAAGAAACGGTGGCAGGCCTCGCGGAAGCTCCAGTCTCCTCTGTCCCTCCGTCTCCCGAGAGTGGCTCTGGCGGTCAGGTGAATGCGATGCCATTGTTGGAAGAGGAGGACTACGAGGCTCGAGATGCTGCGACATGCGACTGCTGCGATGGCGGGTTGACGCTGGTGAAAAGAAGTGAACAAAAGTAGGGCGGAAATGTGCGGCACGCCGTGGGGTTTCATGTAGGAGATAATCAGATAATCAGAAGCATCTTTGTGCGGGCATGATGCAGTCCAGTAATCGCAGCAGCAAAAGTTGTCAGGCCTTGGCTGATGCACGCTCCAAGCAGCGGGCAATGCGAACTGCAGAGCGCTCCGAGCCTTGTTCTGTTGAGACTTCCGTTGCTCAGCGGATGATCTTGACTTCAGCAAAGCAGAGGAGCAGAACGAGGAAGATGCAGCGATTCATGGCATGGCGCAGAGGCAGGGCAGGGGTGAGTCGCAATGGAGGGCAACGCCAGCACGAGTTCTGGAAGTTCACGCCATGCTAGGCTTGTCATGTTCGTCTCCTCGAAGTGGTTCGAGGGCGCCTCGCTCAGAATGAGCGAAAAATGTGTGCGGTTGCCAGCCCCCGTGGTAGTCGGGGACACTCGGGGACTATGCAGCTTGCATTGAGGATAAATTGGTATTGGCATTGATGCTCTGTGATGCACTTGTTCCCAAAGCGCGTCCGGGCGCTCATGCGGCGGTTCTGCGCCTCCTGGGGCGCGGTGCCCTTTTCGATAGAAGTCGCGTTCTTCCACAGTCCCTTCGCAGCCGACGCACTGGAAATGTGAAAAACCTGGTCTTCGGCCTTTTTCGGCCTCTCGGGCTCGCGCCAGTACATGGGAACGATTGTCGTGGTGGTGCCCTCGCATCGCTCGAAGCGCCATAAACAGCCTAAGAGGCTTCTTGGGCTCGGCCGTGTGGACTTCTCCCACAAGTGTCAAGTGGCGATGTTGAGAGGGCCGGTCGTCGTAACGTCGTCGTGGTCGTCGTGGTCCTACTAGTCCTGGTCGTTGGACGATCGTCGTGGTTGTCGTGATCGTGGTGACTGGTGGTCCTAATGATCCTAGTAGGGTAAGCTGCTGAATCTGCCACGTCTGCTGTATTCTTCTTGCAAGCCGTATTTAAACAACTTGGGTAGGTCTGGATTCTGTTCCAGCATATCTCCAGCAAGGCACAAAGGTGTGAGACAGGCGTGCGCAACAGATATGTTTGTGATAGTGTGCAACTTGATGTGGTCCCAGGTATCTTCGCTGCCGTGATTATCACGAATTGTTTCTTTCTAGGCACGAATGGGCAAATGGGCCTTGGGAAGCTTTGCGGACTTGGTGCTGGGGATTTTTCTTCAGCGTGCTCGGCACACATCTGAACCTCCAGCATCCGGTTTCAACCCTCCACTCTGAGGATGGCCATGCTGCAAGTAGACTGCACCCAGATGTGAAGCATGGAAGTCCTACCACGGCAACATGGTTCAGAGTCGCACGCTTTCGTTCCCAGATTTCCGGAACATGTAGTCTTGACCCGTCAGCTAGACTGTTGTTGGCCTCAGCGCTAGTCCAGAGTCCGCTCGTGTCCTCATTCGCTCTTGGCAGAGCAACAACAACCTCCGATTGCACATCGCAATCATCCTGGGCACACGCTGCCATACTCAACATAGGTGTGGCGGAAGACGAGGCCTCTCTACAACATGCACGCCAAAGCTTGCACGCAAAACGCAGTTTGCTGCGCAGCACCGCTAATCAATAATCTGTGATGCCTGAGGCAGACCCAGCCGATCAAGACTGCTCAGCGTGCCTTGAGAGACCAACTGATAGCCAGATGCCAGGCATTTCGTTGGAAGCCGCTGCTCAGTGGCTTGTTTGCATGTCAGTGATGTCTCAAGAATCCGAAGGCGGCAAAAACCTTCTCATCAGCGGCCGAATAGCTTTCCAGTTCCCACAAGTTCACCCTTCTGGCATCGACTTGCAGTGTGCAGGGATCTCTCGTCGGAGCTTCCTCCTGGATTCAAAGTTGTGGACTACATCTATGCGACCCTCTTTGCTGTGGAGCTAGTCCTGAAAGTTTGCGTGCAAGGCAAGAGTTTTTTCTGTTCCTTTGCAGACAGATCTGCACTGTTCTGGAATTACTTGGACTTGGTCATTGTCGGAACATCCATCTTTGAACTGGTCTTTGATCTGATCCTGGCCTTCGAATTTGACGAGTCGGCAGCCCCTACACAGACTCGCTTGCTGCGGATCATCCGCGTCATCCGCGTTTTGCGAGTTATGCGGGTCGTCAAAGTGGTGAAGTTTCCCGGCTAGCGCTTGGGCAACATTCTGGCGGCTGGCAGTTGATTGGGGTGGTTGAGGGGTCAGTCTTCGCATGTCTTCGCAACATTGATGCTGGGGATCAAAGAGTGCAGTGGCCACCCACAGCTGCAGGTTCATCTCGGCGTTGACATCCCTCGTGACGTCGATCCTTTCCACGCTGAAATCCCTGCTTTGGAGCTTAGTGCTGCTTCTGATGGTGATGTACGTGTGGCCCATCTGCAAGCAAGATAAGCGAAGCATGCCGCACAGCTGAGGGCAGCCTGTGACAAACGAGGGGATGTCTGTTTGCGCGGTAAACTCAATCTCATGCAGAGTTCTGGCCACGTGAGTTCACAGATGTTTGCATCGAAAGCCGCTGCCCCGAAGACAGGTTCGCCATCCTCTTCACCGACACGGTCATTGGACATGTCAAGGATGTGGGTCAGGAAGGTCAGACGGAGCTCTTGACCTACTTCGGATCGCTGCCGCTTGGAGCTGGACGGTTTCCTCTTCTGGTCTAGGAAGTCTAGGACCGTAGGACTCTAGTTGAGCAGTGGTTGACTGGGGCCAAGGCACCTATCGATGCACACACTTTTCCGGAGCGTAACTGGAGGGTTGGACTGGGGCGAGATGGCAGATCACCTCATTGAGATTGACTGGATATGGGGCTACTTCTTCACTGGATTCGTTGCTTTTTCGTACTTCGCAGTTCTCAATGTTATGACAGCCACTCGACATTTAGACGGGGCAGTGCGTTCTGTGCGATTTGTAACTAGTCGTGCTTGAGGTGTCGTGCAGTCACTGCTGAGTCACTACGAATGGTGCTTGCAATGCCTGTGCAGGCTGTGTTCTGCCAGAGGGCTATCGAAAGTGCTGAGCAGGATGAGCAGAATATTCTGCAGCGCTTTCTTGACGATCAGCGGAGTCTGGGCTAAGTTTTGCGAGGTGCATGCACAAAGAGTTCCGAAAGCTTGGAGAAAGCTCAGGCGCTACAGGCATCGCATCGAGCAGCTCTTTTCGAGATTTGATGGTGACTTGGCGTCTAAACACACTGCCCGTGCGAGCCATTTCTGGTGTCTGGCTGGCTGTAACCACTTGCCATAGCTTCTTACATCCGAGTCAACGACAGAAAAGATTCGATTGGTCCCAAGAAGGTATGGCGACGACTACTATTACAAGTACCACTATATCCCTGCTAGCAGTACTGCTCTGCAAGCACTGCTCGTAGTGCTGGTACTCCTTGTAATGGATTCAAGTAGTAGTAGTAGTAGTAGTAGTAGTAGTAGTAGTAGTAGTAGTAGTAGTAGTAGTAGTAGTAGTAGTAGTAGTAGTAGTAGTAGTAGTAGTAGTAGTAGTAGTAGTAGTAGTAGTAGGTAGTAGGTAGTAGGTAGTAGGTAGTAGTAGTAGATAGTAGATAGTAGATAGTAGATAGTAGCTAGTAGCTAGTAGCTAGTAGCTAGTAGCTAGTAACAGTAGCTAGTCGCTAGTCGCTAGTCGCTAGTCGCTAGTCGCTAGTCGATAGTAGGTGGTAGGTGGTAGGTGGTAGGTGGTAGGTGGTAGGTGGTAGGTGGTAGGTGGTAGGTGGTAGGTGGTAGGTGGTAGGTGGTAGGTGGTAGGTGGTAGGTGGTAGGTAGGTAGGTAGTAGGTAGTAGGTAGTAGGTAGTAGGTAGTAGGTAGTAGGTAGTAGGCAGTAGTAGTAGTAGCAGTAGGAGTAGTAGTAGTAGTAGTAGTAGTAGTAGTAGTAGTAGTAGTAGTAGTAGTAGTAGTATTAGTAGTAGTAGTAGTAGTAGTAGTAGTAGTAGTAGTAGTAGTAGTAGCAAGAGTAGTAGTAGTAGTAGTAGTAGTTGTCGTCGTGGTGGTGGCGGTGGTGGTGGTGATGGTGGCGGTGGTGGTGCAGCATTTCGGAGGGAAATCGAGAACTGCTAGTCGGTACGCCGCAATTGGGTCACTTGGTCAGCTTGGTTTGGGGATGGCACTACGGCTTGGGCAGGCGACCATGGTCACTTGGTTCACTTGATCTACGGTTTGCGGGTTTAGGGCTTAGGGCTGAGAGCTTGCGATTTAGGGGTATGGGGTTTAGTGGTTTGGGTTCTAGGGTTTAGATGTTTCGGGTTTAGGGTTTAGCTGTTGGCAAGTGACAAGTGCACCAACTGCACCAGGTGGACCAAGTGACCATGGTCACCTGCCCAAGTCGTAGCAGCACCAAGCGGCCCAAGCGGACCTTCAGCTACCGGTTCCCGATCTCCCGCTCACTGCAGTAGTAGCAGCAGCAGCAGCACAAACAGGAGCAGGAGCGGCAGCAGCAGCAGCAGCAGTGAGAGTAGCAGTCGGAGGAAGAGGAGTAGTAGTAGTAGTAGTAGTCGTAGTCGTAGTCGTAGTCGTAGTCGTAGTCGTAGTCGTAGTCGTAGTCGTAGTCGTAGTCGTAGTAGCAGCGTCGTGGTGGTGGTAGTGGTCAGTGTTTAGTAGCTAGTTCGCAGTTGGCACGAAGCAGTTTTAAAGTAGTGCTACTACTTAGTCTGTAGTTTGGAGGTGGTGGTTGGTTTTTTGTTGCTGGCAGCAGCAGCAGCAGCAGCAGGAGGAGGAGGAGGAGGAGGAGTAGTAGTAGTAGTAGCAGTAGCAGTAGCAGTAACAGTAGCAGTAGGAGTAGTAGTAGTAGTAGTAGTAGCAGCAGCCCTAGCAGGTAGGTATTTGTAGTAGTCGTAGTAGTAGTATAGCAGAGCAGTAGCAGTGGCAGTAGCAGTGGCAGTAGCAGTAGCAGTAGCAGTAGCAGTAGCAGTAGTAGTAGTAGCAGCCCTAGCAGGTAGGTATAGGTAGTAGTAGTAGTAGTAGTAGTAGTAGTAGTAGTAGTAGTAGCAGTAGCAGTAGCAGTAGCAGTAGCAGTAGCAGTAGCAGTAGCAGTAGCAGTAGTAGTAGCAGCTCTAGCAGGTAGGTATAGGTAGGTATAAGTAGTAGTAGTAGCAGTAGTAGTATAGGTAGTGGTAGTAGTAGTAGTAGTAGTAGTAGTAGTAGCAGTGTAGTAGTAGTAGTAGTAGTAGTACTAGTAGTAGAGTAGAAATGGCAACAGCCTTATCATTACGAATCATTACCACTTCCACTATCTTCACCACTTCCCTACATGCTGCTGCTGTGAGCACTGCTGCTTCCACCCATTCTTTGCGTTGCAGGCGTCGCAAGCGCAAGCTCTCGCACTATCTCTGCATCTTCCCGATTGCTCAAAGCTGTGCCGAGGCCTTGAGAGGGATGGGGCCATCACGCTGAGCGAGATGGAGTTGCCTGCTCTGCATGACGCGCACTGCTGACCGACGTGTCCCGTGTTAGTGTTGTCATCGCTATCACAAGCAGCATGAGATAGCATTAAGATGGCCTGGTCCTGTTGACACTATGAACTTTGGAAACAGTGAACAATGGGATTGTTTGAGATTGCCATTGGGAATCGGGCGAACGAAATGTCAATCGCGACATGGGAACAACGTGGATCCAACATGGAATTTCAGTCTTGCGGCGATGTTCTAAAGCGGACTCACCAGCAAGAAACATGTAGGAAGCTGATCGTGTAGTGACAAGCGCAGGCCTGCCTGTGGCAACATTATTGCTTGGAAACGTACGCGATCTCTGACTGGACAGCAAACTCTGGGGGGCAGGCATCTATGTTACCGTCTGCCCCGGGATGCTTTCTGATTTGTCTGGGTTTGTTTTGACTTTCTTCGTTTTCTCTCCATCAGGTTCGGTGTTCAATTCCCCCCCAGGTCCAGTTGATCTGAAATCCAGAAATTTGCATAACACCGAAGCATTTGACAAATATTAAAGAAACATGGAAGTTAACTGTACAAATAACGAAATGCACTCGAAGCCATATGCAAAACACACAGAAGTTAAATGATAAATATGGAACGTGCATGGGAACATAGTGAGTAACAACAAGACTCTGAACCTATGGAGCAATCATGAACACACTCTGGAAATGGACCTCAGCCCAACGAGACAAATGGGGGGCACGAGACTTTGAAAATCAGCGCTACAACAAAGGCAACGGCTTCGCAGAGCAAGTGTTGCACTCCGCGAGCTTTTGGTTTCTGGAGTGTGTTTCATGTTGCTTTCTTGTGCTTCTCGTTTGTTATGATTCTGATTTGGTGTGTTTTTGTGGTGTTGATTCCCATTTGTTTTGATTTTTCTGCCGAGCCTGCTGATCTGGGTTCGATTATTTTCATGTTGTTTCTTCTAAGTTTTCTAGTTTCTGGTTTATCATTTGATATCAGGCGGGAGGTCATCTTCAATGTAGCTGAATCGGTAAAGCCAAAGCAGTGGGCAGATGTGCACGGCTGTTGACATGAAAATGGTGATGTTCTACCTGCGTTCTCTGGATTCAATGACAACTCTTTTGCCTAGGCAGTTCTTCAACGATGAAGAGGTTCGTGCCATGTTCCAGTCTCTGGACTTGACAGCAAGGTGCATCTTCGCTTGTTGCATCAACTAGGCTTGTTGATTCCTCGTGCTAATTGCAACATGTCACCGGCCTGCAAGTTGTGGGATTCGAAAAGCAAATCGCAGGGACTCCTGGACATTGTTCAAGCTGCTGGACGAGGAGGGCAATGGTGACATTAACCTTTCGGTCGGCCGGCTGCAAATTCGGAGGGCTGGCTCACGGCTGGCCTTGCAAAGTGGATGGATCAAGACAATGGTTTTGGCAGTTGCAGAGTTGCCTTGCAAAGGCGACGATTTCGATTGATGGATGCAGTTGGTTGGGAGTAGCCGGCATTTGCGCACGCAGCAAGGTTTTTGTTGGCGTCATACCCAAACGAGGAGCAATCTGACACACGGCCACCTTTCGCTTCCACGACGCTAGCCGGTCCCTAAAGTTTTGCGGCCCAACCAGGCCGTTAGTGAGACAAGATCCGTCGCCAAGCGCATGATAGACTCCGAATTGCTGCGACTTCATGTGCGGAATCCAAACCGTACCCAAAAGGTAAAACCAATGTCAGGAAGTTGCTGGAGCACCATGACACTTTTGTGGAGGCATCGATGTGCGCCTGTCGGTTCCTTTTAGTCGTCCCGGAACTGTGCCCTCCACATCCACTGCTACTTGCTCTGGCGGCAGCAGCACTCTCGTCTGTTTGATCCACTAATTTTGACACCCTTCTGTCTTCACTCGTAGTTCTAGGGACCTCTGCGTCCCACAGGTCAACGACGTCCACCAAGCTCGCTTCCCCACCCAGCCATGTTCTGCAGCTGCACCAAGCCCGCCCCATCTGAGCTGCTTCAGCCACTGGAATTGGCTAAGGTCAATTTTGGCGGTAGCTCACTCATTCACTCACTCACTCACTCACAGGCTCTGAGGCGTCCAAACTGTCCATGTCTTACAGTGGCACCGTACAGACAACGCTACTCATACCTGCGCTGCAGCGGGCGCCTCGTGCAGAGGCGATTTGCGCCTTGTGGCCCGGCCCAAGATCTAGTCGAAGCACAAAGGCACAGTGCTCTGTGCCCACAAACAGGCCCCAGAAAGGTTACAGGACAACTGGTAATCGCTAGTCGACTCAATGCTTCCACTTGCCCACAGATCTGCTGACACCTTCACGAGGCAATGCAAAAAGCTGTTGGTTGGCCTAACTTCTGGATCCCACAGCTCAGCCGTTTAAAGCATTCCTGCCCTCCAACCACAATCGCGCTATGCTTTGCCTGTGCTCGCGCTGCAGGCATGCTATGTAGTTTCACGTCCCACCCTGCAGCCTTGACGATCCATCTTTGTAAAGGCGGGCATGGACAACTCCATCATTTGAAGGTCCTTGCCGACTGCCCATTTTCCACCTCGTTGACCTTGTCGCGATTGGCTCGACACTCCAATCATTGCTTCATTTCGTTCGATTCCTGGTTGCACACGCAGCGTTCTACGCGTGTTTCAGGGCTTTGTCGGATCATGCGGAGGCCTAGCCGGAAAGAGGAGAGTTCCGAGATGTTTCCGAGGAACGTCCAGTCATATTCTACTATGAATGTGGAGAATACACTAAACAGTGGGTCCTACTTGGACGTAGATTGGAGCTAAAATAAATCTTCATGGACCAACCCAACTTTATGGTATGCCTCAAAGTCCTGAGACCGCTGTTGCATGACCGGACCTGCTTCGACGGTCCACGCTTTCGGGTTTAGGATTCGCTTGCTTGTTGCATGTTCACGTTTTGGGTGATAAAGCTAAAGGTGTAACGTTTCGGGTTTCGAGTTTGCTGTACAGCGTGGTTTTGCTGAATTGTGATAATGACACTGCTGGCAAGCGCGCACGTATGCGCACGTAAGCAATGGCGAACCGGCAGCGCCGCACTCCCGACAGAGCTCCTTCGGTTGCAACTGTGGAGGGCACAGTTCCGGGACGACTAAAAGGAACCGACAGGCGCACATCGATGCCTCCACAAAAGTGTCATGGTGCTCCAGCAACTTAATGACATTGGTTTTACCTTTTGGGTACGGTTTGGATTCCGCACATGAAGTCGCAGCAATTCGGAGTCTATCATGCGCTTGGCGACGGATCTTGTCTCATTCAAGACGCTTTTGGGCCGCAAGAATTTAGGGACTGGCTGGCATTGTGCGAGTGTTCCGAGTTGCAGCTATATTGATGGCCTTTCGTTCGGCTGCTCCTCGATTGTCGATGTATGAGAAGCACATCGAGGGCCAAAGAAGGATCCCTACTGTTATAAAACACGCCGGGATCCACAGAAGATGGTCACTTAGCAATCACATGTGAAATGCTGGCGTTGTCCGTGCCCAAGAAAGCGGAAAAGGCGGAGGGTGGCACATGAAGGCACGTAGAAGTTCGACAGAACCCAGACGTTTTGCAGGTGCGGTTAGCTAGGCCAGTTGCGGCCACGGTGCCATTGGCAAGCCAGTTTGTGAACTCTCGTGTGCATCATCAGAAGATGTTGTGCGGCATAGGAATTCATTGATGGATGCCTACGGCTTCGCGGACCCGCGAAGGCCACGTCCTTAGACACGAATTGCAATTCCCACCTTTGAAGCAGCCATTGCGTGCTGTCCTTTTGGTGTCAAATCTGATGTGTCGAAGGCGCTAGACATTGCTTGCGTCATGGACGAGAGCCGCCGCATCAAACGACCCGAGCTGAGCAAAGTGGGTCGAAAGTCGATGTGCTGTTCTGTGTGTGTGTGTGTGTGTGTGCGTGGGTGTGTGTGTGTGTGTGTGTGTGTTTTTGGGGTTCGTCAAGAAGTCGCCTTCATCTCGCTTCATTTACATGTTGGCCGCATTGATGACCGGTGCTCGCACTGGAGGAAAGGTGATGATCACAGAAGAGCGCCTCTATAACATGGAGGCCTTGGTTGGCGAGTTTTCATCGAAATTCCAGTCGATGCTTTGCGAGCATCTTCCAGCAGTTTTTGCGTGTTCAAGCCTGCGTCGGCAACTTGTAGCCATGGACAATTGAGCTCAGGAAATCGGTGCGTAAGGAGCCGGTGGCACCCAAAGAGGCCCGAAGCCGCAACTGCAGCCTGTGACAGCAGGTCTAGCTGTGCGCAAGCTCAAACTTGAAGCAATGTTGTGACGAATCAGGGTGTGCTCATCTCCGAGATACCCCTCGGAATACTGCCGCTCAGCCTTCGAAGACCCACACTTCTGTTCCCAGGACCCGCCGTTGCTGTCGTCGTTGGGTCCGGGGGGCAGTGAGCTCAGCTCATCTAAGATACCATTTTGTCGAAAGCGTTCGGGCGCCAGATGCGGGCAGGGCCGACATGTCCGAGCCAAGGCTTCCTGTGTGCTGCGACAGAGGCCGCATGGCGAATATACAGCCCTGTCGGATTCTTCACACGTCGCGGCAAACGCTGAACCGGCGGCAGGGTCCATGGATGCAGCATGACGAATGCCTCCATCTTCCAGACGTCCCGTTCGACGTCGGTCCTGACCTGGGCCGCCCGGGCCCCCCGCAGCGAATGCTGCGAGGCAAGGTCGGACTCGGATCATCGGATCAGGTCGACTGTTGGCTGTCTGCACTGCTGTGCAGCACCTGAAGGTCGCGACGCAAGGCTGATGAATGCTTCTCGGTTATGCAGGGAGGGCGGGCTCCTCGTCAAGCGTGCAAGCTCTGCCGTTTGTTCCTCAGGCTAAGGGCAGTACTGAAGAGCCGCATTTTCCGGACCTGCTATACGATCTTGGTCCGCACAGCTTCCCGTTGAAGCAGCTATCCTTCTGAATAGCTGCAATAGGCAATAGGCTACAAACCTGCATGGTCGCTTCAAAATCAAGCAATTGACTTTGCACGGGAATTGCAGGAAGGGCAGTCATTGGCAGTCGTGTCGGTTTAGGGCTTGGGGTTATGATGAACGACGGAAGGTAAACCATGCCTGTTTGTCACGGCCGGGCAACCAGCTTCGCTGGCGCAAGGGCTGCCAATTGCGCACATGCGGAAGAATCAGAAGCTTGAGCCTATCTTGGCTCGTAATCCGGATTGTGTTTGTGCAATCGTGCACGAAGGATCTGTGTTGCCTTCAGGTTGTGACTTTCGAATGCACATATGAGCTGTCGTGAGTTACTGAGTTAATGCATTTCGATCAGTCCAAGACTGATGAAGCTCTTCCGGTAACTTTCTGTAAGAACCGGAAGTGTTACGGCACGCAGTGGTTGAATTCGTCCTGATATCTTCGCAAGGTTCTAGGAACAGGTGGTAGCGGGTGCGGCTATGGGGTCTGGGAACCAGTATCCCACATCTACGAGCAGCCCGAATCTACAGTTTGGTATGGCATCGGCTGACGGAAGAAATCAACCCCTCAAACCACGTGGTGGTGGCGGTTTTGGCGGTGGTGACGGTGGGGGCTGATGCCGTTGTGGCATGCCGAAGGCAGTGCTATGTTTGCTCATTGAGAGAGACAACGTTGGCCAGGAAAAGGTCGCCAGTCCTGACTGCTTGAGCATATGCGAGGAGCTGGACGGCTTGTCCCTGCCCGCTAGCCGAATGGATAAGCCCAACTGGCTGCATGGGTGAGTGGGATTGTGCATCGCACGTGAGTTTAAAGCATTTTTTTTGGGAATGTTCTTTCTGCAAGGCAACCGTTGCGGACGCAGTCTACTGAACATCAGGACAGTCTATTTGACCGCTGCCTTGCTTGACGACATCAGTTTCGGATGTGCTGCACGTTTTAAGATCAGGCCGAAGCCCCTGGCAAACAGTGCATGTGGAACAGGTGGGTGTGCCTGTGTCGCTGCCTGCAGGAGGTCCCCAACCTCGCAGACGACAACGATCCAGTCAACAACGAAGAGGTTCAATGGAACGGTTGCCTGTGTGCATGCGACAAGTTTAAGAAGACGCCTACTGCCGCGAAGAACCTGCCGATGGCAAGCTGTGCGTATTGTGCATGTAGGCAGTCTATGAGGCACAGCGTTCTTTCTGCTCCTTGGAGGCAAAAGGCATCGACAGCTCCGGGGCAGATCCTGTTGCCCAGGCCGACTGCATCGGATGACTGTGCTCGTGTTGCCATCTGCTGAACGTTTCCGGTTCCATTTGCAAGAGAGTCTTTTAAAACCAGGCACTGATGGAGCAGGTGGCTGCCGCAGAGGCAAGAGATATCAAGAGATCGTTCTGCCATGCTGGTCATGCCTTCTTGTGCAGTCGGCGGGCCTGATCTGCATCTTTGCGCCAGGCTGCAGCTGAAGGCTGATGCGCCAGGAAAGCAGCATAAAACGGCTCGTGTGCGTCACTTGCCGTTTCTGCGACTTGACCTTGCCTCCTCGTGGCTTCCAACAGCGACTTCCCAGGCAGAAGGTTGGCTACGGGGGTGGTGGGCGACGGGGCAGTCGAGGTCGAGGGTTGTGTTGTGGTGGGCCTTGCAAGAACCTTGCAAGCACTTGCACCAAAAGACAGTGGCCTGAATGGTGCCGGCAACGGCATGTTGCGTCTTCATTGTGGGTTTGTGTTGATCACTGGTGGGCCTTGCGTTCAGTATTGACGGGGCTTTTGCGACAAAGCTGTCCTGAAGGGGGTGTGTCGACCTTGCGAAGCATCTTGATTTTGGGTTGCGTTGATCAGCGGTGGGCCTTGCAAACAGTCTTGCAATACTTGTACCACAAAACTGTCTCTGCGTAGCATCTTGATTTTGGGTTTGTTGATTGATCGTCTTGCAAAATGTCTTGCGAAACTTGTTCCAGAAGACTGTCCTGCAGGGTATTTGCACTCATTCGAACAATCAAAAAGCAGCGCAACTGCTTGGTGAAATGCCCCGATGCTAGTACCTTATTCCTTCCAGCCAATCACAAAGTGAGTTCGTGCCCGCATGCGGTTGTGAAAGCGTGAATGAGTGAGTGACCCAATGAGTGAGCGAGTTCGCGAGTGAGTGTCGACAGCAACTACTCTGCAGCCTGCCACCCACGTCCACTGCGACTTCTCAAGCGGGCTCCCGTCATGGCACCCCGCATCACAGTTCATGCAGGGGAAGAGCTACCGCAGCCAAGCGTGAATAGCATGCATGCTCAAGTAACAGTGGAGTTCGCTACACACTGAGGAAGGCGAAATGAGTGCAGCCAGTGCCTGGGCAGACATTCTCCAGACACGGAGGGCAGGCACTGCGAAAGATGCCAAAACAGAACCTTTGTTCCAGCACCGATGGCAAACATGCAACCACTGCTGGTGTGCTCTGCATGCCTCGCTATCGCGCCCCAGACGCAGATAGAGCACCTTTTGTCCAACACCGAGGGCGAACACTCGACTCAACCTCCCGCAAGAGTGCGAAAGAGGGAACACGTTTGTTATGTTTGTTCCAGCACCGAGGGTGCACAAGAAACAGCCAGTCGATCAGAGAACACATGGACGGACGGAGTCCCTTTCGAAGAGAAAGCACAGATCCAAACTCGCTCTTTGTCCGTTGATAGACCGTTCGAGCCTGCTGCCGGCCCGAGCGCCTTGCGTCAAATACCACATCTCTTTCCTTGACGCAGGAGTCCACTACGCGCACACCCAGCACCAGCACGCCCCGGGGAGCACGTGCCGCACCTGCAGCAGACCAGGAACGGGGCTGTGCTCGTCGGGGCCTAACCCCTTGGTGGGCCACACTCACCTTGTCAGCCATGGGCCCATTGCTCGGCCCGGGTCTTTGCCAGACTTTCCGCACGGCCCACCAGCGAACAGCCAAAGCAACAAATCAAGATGCCGCGTATGATTGCTGGCACTGTTCATGACAGTCCTGTGGTATTGAGCCGGGAGATCTGAGTGGGAGACACAAGGTCAAGAAAAGCAAGAACCGTCACAGATTTAGGGTATGTCTGAGGCACCCACAAATCATCCGAGAACCACCGAAAGATCCTTCGCAGGGAGCATGGATAGCAATGATAGCAATGTCGAGCATACTGTATGAAGCGAGAGCATAGGATTTCTCTGACATCTTGCGTCCTGGTACCGGGGATCCCTTGGGTCAACGTGCAAATTTGGGCGTCAACATGCAAAGCTCGGTTTCCGAGATGCAAACGGCTCTGGTCGTGGTAGAATAGTATACTAGCAAATAGTACTGAAATAGCAAATAGGACATAGTAGAAGAGTAGTATAGTACTGAAATAGTAAAATAGTAAAATAGTAGAATAGTACAGTTCTGGGTGAACCGGCGCAGGTCGGTTTCCGAGATGCAAACGGCTCCGGTCGTGGTAGAATAGTTTCATAGCAAATGAGTAGTATATAGTACTGAAATAGTAAAATAGTAAAATAGTGTGTGAACCGGCGCAGGTCGGTTTCCGAGATGCAAACGGCTCTGGTCGTGGTAGAATAGTATAATAGCAAATAGTGCTGAAATAGTAAATAGGACATAGGAGAAGAGTAGTATAGTACTGAAATAGTAAAATAGTAAAATAGCAAAATAGTAAAGTCCTGGGTGAAAAATTAGGAAAAGGCCGATTCAAAAGCTAAGGCTTCATGGTTATATCGCTACCCAGTTTCCCATCAGTTGCGTTTTTTCTTGGCCTTGTCACCTCATTTAGTTCCCAGTTCTTTCGCCACCTTAAGCATTTCTTAAGCCCATTTCCCCGATAATTACCGCCGATTTTTTTCAAATTTTTAGCCCCAGCTTTTTCCCATCCCCTCATTCGTTTTCTCTCATATCGCACCTCATCCATTATCGAAGGCCGATTCTAAGGACAACCCACCTCATTCATTCCACTAAACCTACAAATAACAACGTTCCTAAAATTTAATCTATCCACCTTATGCGTTCCTATATTCTTGAAGTCCTTCCCATATCATTGTTTGAATGTTTGTTCTTGTTATGATTTATAACAAGAATAAACCTATTTTACTACCCATTATAGCCCCTTCTTCGTTCCAATCTTTTACCAACTTTTTGAGCTTCTGGGGCTTCCCATGTTATAGTTAGTCCTTTTAGTATAAGTTTTAGGATTGAAGCAGACTTGAAGCTTTTCGGCTTCCTGATGAACAACATCGACAAAGATGAAGTGCACCCGACTTGTTTCGGTTTCTCGTCACCGGTTGCAAGTGCTTGCTTGCTTTGCTGACATGTCTGAAGACACCACGCATTATGCTTAATACATACTTCATTACATTACTTAACTGGGGTACTACCATAGCCTTATAGGGTCTAAGGCCGTTTTCTCTTTAAGTCCTCTTGGGTAGTGTTTTTTCTGGGTTTGGGTCGGGTTTGGGCACTGGGGGCGAAAGCCACCAAAAACCCCACCATTCCATCGCTGGCAAGGCTGGGAGTGCGAAGCACAATAAATAACCAAATTCCTAAACCATCCCCAAAAAATAAAATCATCGAAAAAAGAAGCACAAGGGAAAAACAAAGATGGGGTGTGCTTCTTTTTTACAATCGTCACTAACCTAAACCAAGCCACCACAACCTTGAACACTAAACCACAAAACCCTGAAAAACCCTGAACACTAAACCAAAACCAAGCGGAGGAGGACGCACCGATGCATCGAAGTCGTTGTAGCGAGAGTTGTTGATGAAGAGCACAACCTGTCATGATTTCCGTCAAAGTTTTCTTTATCTATGAAGAAGTGCATCGGACGAAGTCGGGGACTATTGATTTTAGTTCTTCGCGGTCTATCATATTATTATTTTTGTGATTTGTTATTATGTTTTGTATGGGATTTGCCTATAGTTTTATAGCGACCCGTATTTTTTCTAAATACTATATGCTTTGATTTTTTTATTTATTGGTTTAGGGGTTTAGAAAGGGTTCGGGTTGCATACTGAA